AGATCCTGGCACCAGTGATAGTTTGCAGACTGAAGGTCTTATTTGATAGATTTTCAAAGTGATACTGTGCTCAGTTGTATCTGTGTTCCTGGAAGGAGGCTTGCAGTCAGCTTCTCAGAGGAAATACTTTCAAAAGGAAAAGTTTAATTTTGCCAAGATTCAGATAAGGTCAGAGTAATTGGACAAACCAGGGCTTTGTAGGTTAGAGATGAACACAGCCTGCTCCCTGGGACTGGCAAATGCACTGGGAGAACAGGGAAATGAACTGCATGAAGATGATTACATTTGCTGAAAATCTGAAGTACTGTGTATATCTCTTGGCACATTGTCAAGTGTAGAGTTGCATTTGAGGAGGGTGGTTTGTTTTTACTTTTTTTTATTAAGTAAAATGTATTTATCCTTCCCGTTTCTGGTTTCTACTTTAACCCACCAGAAAATGGGTTCACCAAATTAATTTTAGTTGTTTTAATACTGTGTATTTATAAATTGCTGTAAAAATTGATCGTAATATGATGCTAATAGGTTTTACAAGTACATCTGTAGCAGCTTCTCCCTAGCTTCCATGCTTTTCTGTTATGGGGCAGTAGGGATTGTATTCCAGCTGTATCCCATGCTGGCCAAGGGCATGCTCTGACAGGTAGCAGCCAGCATTAGTTCTGACATCAGTGACCTTTGCCAGCTTATACATAAGTCTGGAGTGATATTTTCTCCTGTGTTTTCTTGGCTGCAGAACAGTAAAACCATTTCTTCATTTGCCTGAGGTAGTTTCTGTGAGAGTCTGTGCCCAGTGATTGCACAGCCCTTACAGGCAGAGAATGAAAGAGGGCAGACTGAGTTTCTTCAGTGGGGTAACTCACATTTAAAATGCAGGAAAAATAAAAAGGTGATAATTCTGTGGGTCAGCCAGCAAAAGGAAAGCTGTCAATATCTTCCTTCAGTGGTGGCATACATGGAGTCTCTTCCTGCTGTCTTTTTGTCTTGTTAGGTTGGCCAAAAAATCAAAAATCCCGGTTAGGAACTAAGGAACAGGAAGCTAGTGCAGTTGGACAGCCTTGATTCCTTAGGAAAGAGAAGAGTTGGGATTGTGGGAGGATTGTGGGCAGGGAGTTTGTACAGATTGCTGTGGCTGAGCTTGGGGGAGGCAGAGACAGACTGTTTTGTCTTTGCTAGGAGTTTGGGCTAAAGAAAATGGGATGTTTTGCTTTGTAAAAGCAGGATTGGAATGAGAGGATTAAAGGGAAGGATCCTGAAAAGTCCAGTGAGGTGGTCTTGTCACAGACATCTTTGATGAAAAATCCTTTTTTTAGGATTTTTCCTCCTGAGAAGCTGAGAGGCCTCAGGAACAAATTGTAAACATTGATTATCTGCTGCTGTGGAATGCAACAAGTAAATCTTTGATTGGCCCATGTTGGTTGTTTCTAATTAATTGCCAATCATGAGCCACAAGCCTTTGTTATCACTCTTTCTATTCTTAGCTAGCCTTCTGATGAAATCCTTTCTTCTATTCTTTTAGTATAGTTTTAATGTAATATATATAATAAAATAATAAATCAAGCCTTCTGAAACATGGAGTCAAATCCTCATCTCGTCCCTCATCCTAAGACCCCTGTGAACATGGTCACAGTGGTCTAATATAGTTAAGTATAAGAACATATCAAAAAATCTAAATAAAATTGCAGTAGAGGGAGTAAAGCAGGAGCTGTTTTGATGAAGAGTCAGAAATCAGATTGCATACAAGCAAGTGAAAGGTGCTCTGGCATTCCTGTGTGAATGAAAACCAGCAGGAGAAGGAAATGGAAGACAGATAAAAAGCACCTGTTTTTTTGAAATATACAGTTTGCATGAGCATGAGCATCATGCAGTAGCGTTGGACTTGAGGGAGGTTTTCCAAGCAGACAGATCATGGCTTGTCCCTGCCCTGTCCTGTTGGTCACACACAGGAGCTGCAGGAAGGCAGTGCTGTGGGTAGGGAGTGTCTGGGAGAGCTGGGACAAAGCCCTGGGACACAGAGGAGGCTTTTCCCTCCAGATGGCCAGGCAAAAGGAATGAATTACACAGTGAGCTGGCTCCTGCAGCCTGGTGACATTTCCATGTTGGTTTCTGGGCAGGCAGCACCTGGGCAGTGTCTGGGTGAATCTGCCTCAGTGCCTGGAGCACAGGAGGAGGAGAAAAGGCTTCTCTCCAGTAGGTGCAGCAGATGACAAGCTTTGCTGACTTGCTCCATCTAGCTTCTCAGTCAGAGGATGGAGATTTTTTGTTTCTGACAGCCTCATGCTGTCCAAATTCAACAAGGACAGCTTCAGAGCAGTGGTTTCCCAGCCTGCCTTGGATCTGAGTAAGATCAGATGTGCACAGCTATGGAGAGAAATGGAGCCTCCTGACAGTGGGTTTGTTTTTCTGCAGCTTTTTCTGCATTATATAGAAATAACTGTCAGCTCCAAGGTAGGAGCCTGCCCCCAGGTTTTGGGGTGTTGCACCCAGCCTGGCTGTCCATTTACCAGCAAGCCCTAATATCTTGTGTTATTGAAAAAGAAGTATCTGCACCAAAAGAACCCTCCCAACAAACACAAAGAAGCCCAGCAGTGTTTCCCATTGTGCTGATTTTAGTCAGAAATACTAAAACCCACTCAGACATGAAATATTATTTAGATTACCCTAAATTAGTTTGAAATTACTTATAACCATGAAAAGTGGTGGAGATTGAGGCTGTGTGGAGCTGAGAAGAGCCCAGCTGAAGCTCAGGGTTAAGGTCCTACTGATAGCAGTAATGTTGCATAAACAGTGACAGTAATAGAAGTTATGAAGAGATTTAGATTAGTATATTTAGAGCTCCAGAACCTCTTACAAGTGAAATAAGCAGTGGTTTTGTTTGAGGCTTTCTTCTGACTGGAGTCATACCACTCTTTGAAGTACACAAACTGTGTGTGAGTGTGTTCCTTCCTCTGTGCATTTGAGTGGAGAATGTAAAAATACCAGCATGGTCTTGTTTTGGTAACAGGATTGCATGCAGACATCCCTGTGGTTAAATTGGAAAAAAAAAAATAAAACCCATGAGATTTATTGTGAAGGGGTTGTTGTTTGCAAATGGAGTGATTAATGGCTGAGAATGGAGATGTACAGACAACTGCAGGATCTTGCTCATAACCCTCTAATGTAACTCCTTAACACTCTCAGGTGAAAATTTTCTTTCCAGAAATTGATCTAAAGAAGATGTTTTAAAAATATATAATTTCTTATGCTCCCCAGAGGGGACCAGCTGTTCTGTCCCCTTGTGTATGTGGCAAATGAGGAGACAGAGCTCAACTCATTTAATAGCACCTGCAAAACCACCCACTGAACATCATCTCTTATGGGATTATGCAGTCAAGTTATTTAAGCACACTTCTAGCTCAAGAAACACAGTTCACAATTCTTTAGAGCTTCACCAGGAGTGTATCCTTTAAATAAACTGATTTAGGAAGAAAGTTGGAATTTTTTATTTTTAAATTTTTTTCTGGCACTCTTTTTAGTCTTCTCTTGCTCATTCCCCAGTGTTTGGTTTTCACAACAGTGCAGAATTCAAGATTTTACTTTGAGCCTTCAAAGTTTGCAGACTCTGCTTGGAAAACTGGCATGTTGCTGAGCTTCCTGCCATGGCTGCTTTTGGAAAAATGTAACCAATTCTAGTGCTTTTGTGGTAGGACCTCTGGAAACAAGATGAACTATTTAAAGCCTCTTGCTACATATTAAAACTAAAATGTTTCTTTGCTCCTGCTTGTACCTCTCTGTTTCCTCAAGTACTTTTGTTTGACTGTGTTTTTCGTTTAACCCTTCTGCCTTGGTCTTCCTCACTCCTGTCAATTCTTTCCCTTAAGGCATTAGAGGGAAGCAAAGCATGCATGTGTTTGGTGTGGGGTGTGTGTCAAATTTGGGGTTTTACCTGTCAGCATTCTCTGTCCCAGCTGCTTTGTTCTGCTCCATCTCCCTCTGCAGCCACACCACTGAACTTGGTGTTCACTGCTGCTGAAGCCTTTTATTTTAATTTCTGCTTGTATCAGATCAAAAACTGTGTCTCTGTCTCTATAATGTTTTGCACTTGTATTATTTGCCCCTTTTGGTAACTGAAACTTCCAACATAACTCCCTGCTATGTGGTTGGAAAATGTGTGTGCAAGGAAAAGAGTTAGGGTGTTAAAATACAGTCACAGCTCACCTGTAAAAATCCTAGGATGACTTTTTAGCCATGGAACTGAATCCTGCTTGGTTCAGAAGCTGATTCACAAATGACTGCTGTGAATTGGTTGTGACTTTAGAGGAACTCTGCTACTCTAGTTCAGATGGAGATCCCCCTCTTGATTTTCCTCACTGATGGATGCATTAGTGGATTGTGCTGGGTGTTGAACTGTTCCTTCAGTTTACCTGACAGCAGAAAATGCTGTTTCTTCCTAAATTTATCTTCAGTTCCTGACTTGAATATGGCTCAGTTGCATTTTAGAAATCTGAAGCAGCATTTTTTGGGGGTGTTTGGGCTTTTTGTTGTTGTTTGTTGGTTTTTGCTTTAATGGTAGAGTGTTTTCTCCCTTGTGGGTGATTTTAAACTGCTTTTTTTCCCCTCCTGATAAGTCCTGCTAATACTGTAATATTTGAGACTGCATTGTAATGACATCTAACATTTTGTTCTGTTTGTACTGCAGACTGAGGTCAAGTAAACAAAGAAAGCAATCATTATGTTTTAGCATTCTTTTTTAATGAGCACATTAAAATCGAGTCACAGCTACAGGATCAGCTGTGAAAAGAAGGGAGAGATACAGAGCTCTGAGTAACACTGTATTTTTGAAGCAGTTTATGGAAAAATAATGGACTGAAGGGATATGGAAGGACTCTGGTAGGAAATAAATGGCACGATGTTGTTGACAGGAAGGGTTTGGCAGAAGGCTTGTTGTGACTGTTTCTGTGGCTTAGAATTGCAGAGGAATTTCCTACAGACTGGACTAACCATGACAAAAATGTGTCTGCTTTTAGGAGATCAAGGCATACAGAGGAGTCTTCTCAGGGAAGATGTCGTCTTTGACCATGAGAAGCCGTTGTGTGGACAAAAGAGGAAGTTTCTTTAAGGTAAATGGGATACTTAAACAGAACATGAAATACTTGGGTTTATGTGAAATGAGCACAGCAGAATGTGCAGTGCTCTCTGTGATACATAGTAAGCCTTTTCTGTAAAAAGAGAAGTACTTACTGAGCACTTCTTTTTACAGGCAGATTTGTGGCTAAGATCACCCCCCAGTTATTTCACATGTATATTTTTTCTGTACATGGAGTAGAATATTTGGTGCAAAATAGGTCATGGCTTTCTTTGCTGCTAATGCTGAGAACATAATCTTTATTTTGCACAGGCATAAAATTATTGGAGGCTTCATAAACTAGATTTGTGTCACTTAAAGCTGTGGTACAGATTTATGATTTCCATTACTGGATTGAAAATTGGTTTCATTTCCTTGTCTATTTTGAGAACAACTGGCATCCCAAGAAGCCAGGCTGCACTAGGAGTTACCCACTGCAGTTTTCAAAAGATGATGTGCCAGGGTCACAGTGGCTGCCTTGCTGGGCAGGGTTTTGCTTTAGGCAGCCATCAAAATTCACAAAATTTACATCCCTTAGACTGTTCATCACTTGCTGTAGCTTCTTCCAGTAAAAGATATTGATGCTGCCATCTTGGGGTGCTGCTGTTTTCATTCCTTCTCTTCCTCTGGGGCAGAAATTTCCCTTGGGGAAATCTTTAGGAAATGAACAATCGTGGTTTCCTTTTGCCTTGCCCAGCAGTTACCAGGATCATCCAGTGACAGGAGCCACCTCTCAGTTCTGCAGCACACTTCAGCTACCTCTCATAACTCAGGAGTACAAACATCAGCCTTGTTGATAGCCAAAGAGGGAGAACAGCCCTATTTTCTAATCACAGCAAGGAATTCTCTCAGTTCCAAGAAATATCTCTAGGTCATCTCTTGCGTGTATGCTGAGGGACTCCTGATGTCAGATGGGACTGTAAGCAAGCACCCAGTCATTTTCTGCAGTCTTTGGGATTTCCTTAGGTAATTCTTATGTAGAAAAGAGACGCTGGAACAGCTGTTTTGTTCATGATGATGGTGGGGTTGCAGTTACTCTAAATGATTAGAAATGCAGTCTGCCTGGGCAATTTCAAGAAACATGGTCAGTTAGAAAACTAAGGTCCTACATTTTCTTAAAGACATCTGGCAGGGAATAAGATGCCTCCAAGCTCCTTTTCCTAGCCCTTGGAAGCTGCACTGTTGGACCATGGTTCTGAGCACAGAATGTGGGACTGGAAGCTGCACCCAGCCTGTGTGCAGTGCACCTGGTAGCTTGTGTGTGTGCAGTGAAATTACCTTTTATTTTCTCCTTCTGCCATGTGAGCAGAATTGTGACAACAGCTACATTTGTTTGCTACAGCTGAGCTGGTGAGCAAGCAAAATACTTGGCGCATCAGATTTTTTGAGTTTGCATTATTTTAATTTGCTTTGTCTGTCTGTGTTTAGGAGACCTAGTAATCGTGATATGGCCTTTTATCCCTGCTGATCTGTTCTTCAGGATGCTCTCCCACATGGGCAGACTGTCCCCTGTCCTTGCACATGGCTCTCACATTGTGCTTTTTAAGAAACCTTTACCATGTTGGTGTGCAGATTCTCAGGGCACTTAAATCTTCTTGAGGGAGTATCTTACCATTCTCAGCAACATTTGCCACAAAAATTGCTGACAAATACCAGTTGGGAAATTCCAACTTTATCTTTTCTTTTCTGGTTCTTAAGTAGTTCTCATTGCTACAGCTTCTAACCATGTCTTAGTTTTTTTTCACAGCCATTCTTTTCACTGTTTTGTCCCCATTTTAGACAGAGAAGAAGTCCCTATTTTTGACAGTACTGTCCCCATTTTAGACAGAGCAGAAGTCTGTAGTTTTAGAGGCTAAATTCTGTGGACTCTACACCTTGTGATTGGTGAATGCTCAGAGCCAGCAAGTAATAAGAATGAGGCAATGATGGGGTTTGTCTTGGATAATTCTGGGACTCAATAGCTTGCCAGTGATTACAGAGAGAGTCTGTGGTAAGGCAAGGGGCTGAGTATATGTCTCTGACAAATGTCCTCTTTACTGAATTATCCTCCTGCTCATCAAAATGTTCCAGTGTTTACTGAACTGGCATCAGAGGTTTTATACCAGCAAAGCTTTTCTGTTCCAAAATCAAGCATCAGGTAAAACTTTGTTTCTGATGAATAAGATACTGAGCAAGGTCAGCAGCCCTGAGAATTCACAGCTCACCAGAATCTGCAGACGTGTATCAAAATATTGGATTGCATTCAGAGGCTTGCACAAGTTGAGCAGCAGCGTTCTCAGACGGGCTCATCTCTGGCACTCGGCCACCTCCTCACACAGAGCTCTCTGTGAGGGTTGCTACGTTCTGCTTATCAAAACAGGAAAGAAAAGATGTGATGCCAAAGAGGATGCAGGTCTCCAGAAAGAATGAAAAATGAGATGCTGGCAGGAAGGGGGAGTGGTAAGTGCTGAGGCTCATTTGTCCAGTCTGATTCTAATCTTGCTGTCTTCAACCCGTGTCCCCTTGCCCGATTAGAAGCACCCATCTTACCTTTTCCTCTTGAGTTCTTGTAAATCTCAGGGCTTGGAAACATTCTGCACTGGTCATCTTGGCTGACTCTTTTAGTGCTTCTCAGAATGATGGCAATTTTGTTAATTCTCTGTACAAGCTTATTTACATTTGAACACAAAGAGCAGGAATTCAGTTGTCACGCAGTTTTTTCTAAAAATGTCTGGGAGCAGACATCAAATCAAAACCACCTGTCTTCCTCTTGGGAATAGGAAACTCTTCAAGTCCAGTGAGTAATAAGAGCTGTAGTTATGCTGGGTTTCTGGGAGAGGCACTGTCTATATCTGGTCCTGGGCATGTCCTTGCTTTCCCTGATGCACAGGGATGTGAGTGTCAGTAGAGCAGCTTCACAAATGTGACTGGAACCCTTGGGAGTGACTTGCTTCTGATGAACACACATTTTTACTGCTTGTAAAACATCCTGGACGATGCAAAGCAAAAAATGTTGTGTTATGGTAAGGGAATGCTGAGGTGCCATGGTTGTGGGCTGTATGTAGAGTTCCACTGTCACACTTGCCAGCTCCCAAAAGCTGAGCTCAGTCTCATAGAGTTCTGAATCAATTGACAATAAGCAGAGTGTGGTGCTTTATGAAAGGAAATGCTGTGGTTTAAGATGTTTGCATTTCATCATTTCGTTCATGGATGTTAGGAATGTAAACAGTTAGTACATGGGTATTTGGCAATCTAGTGTTTAGGATAGATTTGGTTAGGCAGTACTGTACTGGGCTGCTGTGTGAATTCATGTTGCCTGAGTCATAATTATTATTTGGGTTTACAGCGGTTATACTGTAGTGTCTTTTGAATTTACAGAACTGTGCTTTATCAGAAATAAATTCCAAAGGAAAAATCATTGCACACAAAAATAGCTGTTTTATGATGTTATAGAAGATCTCATTTTAATTTTGTTTTTTATGAAATACTGCTTAATTAACCACCTGAGAAGATGTCATATTTCCAAATGCATTTTTCAGATAAACTTCCTCTTTCTATAGCATAGCAGGGTAATATCTATTTCACAGACCTAAACAAGATTTCTTCTGATTACTATTTAAGTCATTGGGTTCATGTATGCTGTTTTACACTAACAGAGGCCTCTGACAAATGTATACATCCACTTCTCTTGCACTTACTGTGTTGATTTCAAGTCTGTTGAAACAAAGGGATGAGTTTTCCCATTATTTCCAGCCAAAGAGGTACCATACTTGTTGCAAATAGAGAGGTGTCTTTGAAGAATTCTGATATTCTTAGCTTTGCACTAAAAAGGCAGAGCCTTCTGCTGCTGCTTGTTTCCTCAGGGCTGGAGCTAATAATAGTACATAGCCAGGATCCTTCCTGTGTTTTGTAGAAACAGGTTATTATTAACAGCTCACCTTGTGTGATGCTGGTCACCTGTGCATCATGTGTGCTGTGTAATCCCCAGAAGCTTCATTGGCCCTAAATACTGGGAAATGCTGTCATAAAATCATGACTGCACCTCACATTTTTGTAGAAAAATTCTGTTGTAACAGGATGGGTCAGGTAATTGCAAGGATACACAAATGATGTGACTCCATAAGATTTTTGTGAATCAAGGGAAGAGCAACTTTTTTTGTCATTAAAGAGAATTTAAGGAAAATTAGTTGGAAATTGCAGAAAATATTGGTGATTTATTCTAGAAAAAAATGAGGGGTTTCTTCCTAGAGGTCAGTGTTTTAGTTCAAGTGGAGTTCAGGGTGGTAGGTGATTGGTCTTGGTTGGGTTGTGGTGTGTTCCATCCTGGGGAACTTCACAGGTCAGTCTGGGGTTTGATGCCACACTTTAACCTGGTTTCCTTGCCCAGAGTGTTGATTTTTTAGAGACTAAGAGTCTTTTTAGAGACTGATTTGTCATGGAGGCTATGTAGCACACCCAAGAAATGTAGCCTGTAGAATAGAATGTGAGCATAAGGCTGCTTGAAAGGTGCCATTTTGTGCAAGTCCTCTTTAGAAGGAGAAACAAAATTGCTAAACATGGAAGAATTCCTCTCAGGAATAATTTCTGCAGAGTTCTCTTCAAGGCAGGCATACAAATTCAAAAGCATTAAGATTACTTGGCTGTTAGCACATTTTGGATGAGAGTTCTTTGCCGAGAGTTTGTTTTCTGGGGGGGAGATGGGTTTTATCATAGCTCAGGTCAAAGCCTGCTAACAGAGTTAACTCAGTTGTATTTGGTTTCCTCTGGGTTATTGGTTTGCCTTTAATGTTGATTAGTTTCTCATTCTTCATTCTCTTATCTATCTCTTCCCAGACCAGGAGTCTTGGACTATGCCAAGGGTGATGTTTGGAGTTGACATTCATTAATTGTTGTTATCTTTTGTGTATTTTCTATTTTGTGTGCTGCTCCCAGTCTGCTGAGATGTTAAGCTCATCAGACCTTGTGGTGGAACAGTCCTTTGAAAAGAAACTTCAATTCCTTTCTTCCTGACTAAAGTTATATTAAAAAATGCTAAACTTCATATAATTTCCAACACTTTGAACTCTGACTTGGACAGAAGAAAACCCTTAGGGTGTGGGTAATGGTAATTCATTCTTACATAAGGTTCAGTTATTGGAGTTGGCCAGTTGTAAGCAGACTAAAACTTCATTTGAATTGATTGGAATAATGGTGTTCAGCAGAGGAGAGTGTGAATTCCTGGGGTGGAGGAAAAATTTCAATGTAACTATTTAGGAAAATGATGCCTACAATTCTTTGCAAATGCTGCTGTACTGAGTTGCCTGCCCTGAGTGGGACCCAGGCTCACACCTTCAGGGCAGCTGTGAAAACTGTTCTGACTTGGACCCAAAGCTGGTTTTGCTTGATATTCCAGGCTTTTTGTTTGTTCTGATGTGCAGGGGTGGTGGTAGAGATTGTTACATCACTGCAAACCTTTTATTGGCTTCCCTCCTGGTAGGAGAGAGGGAAATCTGTTAGGGTTTATAGGCTCTTGTGGTGGGCATGGCAAGCAAACTTGATGCATTGGCTACAAAGAAGTGTTCAAGAGAGCAGGCTTTGCAAATTTCATGGTTGGTTTCTGCTCAACAAAATGTTTCCCTGAAGTCTGGCTAGCAAATTCTGCATTTCTCACAATACAACCTCAGTGCTAATCTTGCCTACCTTAAAATGAGTTTTTGCCCTCATACCCAGAATTAGGTTGGTGTTCTACCTGAGCTGAAGGGTTGCAAGGCAATTCTTTTTTAATTGAATTGTTGTGTTCAAGTGGAGTCCAAAACCTAATGTGAAAAGCAGCCACCCACTCCCTTCTTGCTTCATTGCTTTTCATCCTCCACAGCATTGTAATTCTGGATTAGTGTCCCTTCTGAAGTAAAACTCTTGTACATGGAATTCTTCTAATTTTTTTTTTTGAGAAGGTAAATGGTACAAACAGCTAAATAATTTAGTTCTTGTAAGATGTTGTATAATGCACAACTGCAAATTCAGTTGTGTAGGCTGCAAATTCAATCCATTGAAATTAAAAGGCTAACCAAACTGGAAGGTTTTGTTCTGGCACGGAACAGGAATTACTTTTCCTCTGAACCTTTAAACATGGCCCCAACCCTTACTTGTTCCTTTGCAAGGGGAAGTCCAAATAGGATACGATTTTACAAAAAAAGAAAAAGTTTGCAATCTCTGGTGACTAAACTTGCCCTGGCTTCTTTTCCACGCCTCTTCCACTCACTTGATGTCATACTATTTTTGTCCCTTTCTAGCTCATTGACACAATTGCCTCAGAAATCGGAGAACTGAAACAGGAGATGGTACAGACAGATCCCCCAGTGGAAGATGAATCTACTGATTGGCAAAGGTGATTAAAATGTTTATTTTCATGGTTCTGGAGAGTCTACCACAACAGGAATGTTTTCATTGTGCTTTCTTCTTGGGTGGCTTATGTCCTAGCAGTTTTCTCCCTGGCAGCATAGGAGGTGTAGATAATTTTGCTCTTGATCCAAGGAATTTGCCTTTGTGCAGGAGATTCAGTTGTTTGGTGTATTTGCCTTAATATCTTCTAATTGCAACTGAGCTTCACTTTGTTGTTAAAAGCCTTGGATACTGATGAATGTGTAAAGCAGGAAACTACTGCTATTATTACCATTGTCTGTGGCACAGCTTTGCTTCATGCTGTAAAGACAAAATGTGCATTGCTTCAAATGGCTTTTTGAAGATTCAAGATACAATAACATGAATTATTTGTGCCCTCAGGTTAGGAAGTAAAATATTGACTGCTATGAGCTGATGCATATGTGGGTTATGTGTTTAGGTTAATTTATATATGAGTAACTTGCACATAAAAAAAGAAAATTATACCTTTGAGTGGGCAGAATGGGACCCCAACATTTTGGCTTTTCTTGAACACTTACATCTGCTAAATATCTGGAGGATAATCAATATTTTAGTCCTGGTGTTAACAAGAGAACATTTTTGTACTTACCTGAAATATTTGCTGCAAGAGGAAAGCCACCAGTGGTAGGTGTTGTGTTTTATCTGACTGCATGGTCCAGGCCAGCCCTGGAGCTGGTGGGCTTTGTTCTTCTAGCAGTGAGTTAATGAAGTGGAAAATTGTTTTTAGAATTACATCCAAGATTTTTAGCTCTTTTTCTTCCTGTGAATTCTGTTGAAATCTGCTAGAACTTAGAGCAAAGCATGTGTAGATTATTTTCAAAAACATTAAGCAGCAGCTTTGTTGGCCAAGTAGTAAAGAATGTCAGACAGTTGAACTAATTAAAGTTCTTGGCTATGGCCCTGGTTTAACATTACTCAAGTTTCAGAGCTTTTGAGAGTTCTTTTAGAGGGACAGAAAGGATATTTTCTTCATTTTTGTCAATTCAGCTAATTAAGTTCAGAGATCATCAGCTACTTTTCAGTAAAGAAAAGGCTTCTTGTGTCTTTGAATACATCATATGTATGAAAGGCTAAGGTCTACTGATTTAAAATCTTGGTGGAAGCACTTAGCTGGAAACAGTCAACTAAACCTCCCCATTTTACAGATCATGAGTTTTCTTTTTATTTATTTTTTTAACGGATTTTTAATCTTAATTTGTTAATCTTGACTGCAAAACATATTTTGGTTTAAGATAAAGTAAACCTAAAATAAAAATTAAGATAAAGATAAACTTAACATAAAAAAATGAATAACGAAATTTCCATGAAAAATAATAATAGCCATCAAAAAATATATTTTCAAGATGATAATGTGAAATATGAAGGCTGAATAAATGAGCTAAAGTCAAACCTACTGTGTCTACAAAATTCTGAACTGCCTGCTTCTATGTAAGGAAGAAGTTGTGTCAAAGTTGGTAAGTTAAGTAATTAGTTGTGCACTGACACCTTTTTTTTAAATATAGTGCTACAGAGCAAGATTATAGTAATTTCAACAAGAGTTTTCCAGAATTCTTATTTAAACTAGACACCTCACAAGGCTGTGTTTACTGTCATAACTTTATTTCCTTGGGGTTAATTTAAAACCTGGCAGTTAATGGAGTTTTCTTACTGCTTTCTGCTGTTCAGCAGTTGGTGTGTAGAAATGACCTTTGGATTTGCATCTAGGGATATTTGAGCTCAGTGGAATGTCCATTTTTCTTGCTCTTTTTCCACCTTAGCAGGTACCACAGCCACCCAGGGCAGTTCTGGAAAGGCATTGCAGAGCTCTCAGCGGAATTCAGAAAGATAAGGACATGAAATTGTGTGTCTGCAGCCTTAGTAGTGTGGTTTGAGGTTTTTTGTGGTTATGTGGTGACTTTCAGATTTATACTCCTCATCTTATATACTCCTTTATTTTGGGCTCATTTCTCCTTTCCATACAGTATGATTCCATACATACAAGACTGTGACAAGACTATGACTCCATTTCCTACAAGAATGATTCAAGGGCTCACTTTGGCTTGTAAAAGCCAGGCAAAAAAACAGGCTTGCAAAAATGTGTTTTAGGAGGGACTGTTTCAGTATCCCACTGTTTTGATGCCTCACTTTTTTCCTCTATTGAGACGTTTGTCTCAATAATTCAAATGAGTGGAGTTGTCAGAAAAGGCAATCAGTGGGACAGGTTTCTGTCATGCCATTCCAGTGACCTTTGAAAGAGTAACAAGAGAGCTCCTGCATGCAGTGGCAGCCCAGGAGCATGTGGGACAGGTCTGGTGGCACCTGGATGATCTTTTAGGTGACCCCAGGCCCTCTGCAAATCCATGTGAATGTCCATGAGGGGCCAGCTCTTCCTGCTGTCCTGGAGGGAAGACTGTAAAGCTCCAGGGCACTTCCCAGGGAATAGTTCAGGGATGCTTTGCTGCTGGTGGCAGCTGCAGCATCTCATTCCCTTCCTGTTCTGTTCCTGTGGAAGGAGCAGGGCAGAGCTTTGCTCCCTGCCTTGTGTCCTGCCCTGCACAGCCCTCACACTGTTCTTTTCCACTTCAGCAGAGCCATCTTCTGTCCAGCACAGGGAATAATTTCTGCTATTGCTGACAGGCTGGCAAGTGTCCAGAAACCTCCTTCCCAGCTGCCTTGTCTTGTCCTTTTGGCTGCAATGGCATCCAGGAGGAAGTTAGCAGTGGCTCTCTGCCCCTCCCAGCTGATGTTCAGTATCACTGTATAGACTGGGCAGGGTTATAAAGAGCTGCTGGATTTACAGAAATCCAGGAAAATAGTCAAACTGTGAGGTGGTTAACTGCTGTGGGACTGGAGCAACGTTCACATCATGACCAAGGATCATCCTGGTTCAAAGCTTGAGCCTGATCCTTGTCATTTTCACTGTGAGTTGAGTCTAATCAGGATGCAGCACTGCATTGTTTATCTTGGCAGTTACCTCTCTGTACTTCCCACGTGTTTATGGGTTTTGTCAAATCTAAGGAAACTTGCATGAGTCATGTGTTTTCTTTAGTTCATTGTGAATAGTGTTTAAGCCTACCTTTCTCACTGAAGAGGAACTGTGTAGCAGCTCTGAATTAAAGCACACCATTCATTAAGGCTGATTTGTGTTTTGATTTTGAGTTTGCTGTGACCTGATCAGATTGTCTTTTATCAGGAATCTTTTTTTTCTTTTTCAAACTCCCAAACAAACAACACAAACCAACCAACCAAACATCCTCCTACCCGAAAGTAAAACCAGGAGAGGAATTTAGTTGTTGCATAATATACATAATTTTTGAGCATATTTTCCTAGCATTTAGGTTACAGGAACTTCTTATTCTAGTTCAGTACATGAGTTAATCTGTTGCTCATAAATTCAAATGGTTATTCTTTCCATGCAATTGTTTCCAGAGTAGTTCCACACACATCCCAGTCCCAAATAATTTTAGTCTAACTCTTAACACTTACTGAGTTTTGAGAACTTCCATGTGTCAGGGTTTGACTGTATGTCTAATGCCCAGATCATTAATTAAAATTATTTTAAGAACAAAAAAGTAAACTGGGAATATGATGCTCAGTAGTGCTAGACCACTGCAAATAGGCTGTCAAAACAGACCAGTGGGGGTTTTTTACTGCATTTGCTCCCAGGCCTTGGGAAGCGGCTTCTTGTAGGTTGTATGTGGTTTGCCAGATGTGCTTTTTCCAAGGTGTGCTTTTCCCAGAGTTTACCAGGTTAGATGTTTCTCTCTGCCTCCTTCTTTATCATTTCGGAAAAGAAAATAATTTTTAAAAAGTGTTTCATATTCCTGTTTACCTCACCACAGGTTGCAATAACATTCTAGTGCAGATTTATCCAAGTTGCATTGGTGCTGTTTGAACCATTTGTGTTTAGGAGTGGCAGAAATTCTGAATCAGATATTGAGAATCTTGGGTTTATTTCTTGAGGGAGCAGAAGCAGCTGCCTTAAGGAGGTGCCTGTGTATGTAAGTCAGAGAGTTTCCTCCTTGGACCTCAGCATGTGGGAGGGATTATGCATGTAAGTACCTGGAGGTTCAAAAAACCTGAAAAGTTCCTTTTGTATTTGACCCTTGTTTGTATTTGACCCTCTTCCTGACAGAAGGAATGATGAATCTGACTCCATGTTCTCAGAAGGCAAATTTATTACTTTATGATGCTATATTATATTAAAGAATACTCTACTAAAGAATACCGAAAGGATACTTACAGAAGGCTAAAAAGATAATAATGAAAACTTGTGACTCTTTCCAGAGTCCCAACTCAGCTTGGCACTGATTGGCCAAAGAGTCAAAACAACTCACACCAGAATCCAATGGAACAATCAATTGTGGGTAAACAATCTCCAAACACATTCCACATGAGCACAACACAGGAGAAGCAAATGACATAATTATTGTTTTCCTTTTTCTCTGAGGCTTCTCATCTTCCCAGGAGAAAAATCCTGGGCAAAGGGATTTTTCAGAAAATGTGAATGCCACAGTTCCCCGTTCCAATTTATGGTGGTCTAGGGGTTGTGGGACAGCACAAAGCCAGTCATAGCAAAGAGGAACATTGTGACCCTAAGACCCTAAGTGCAAACTCTTGCCAGCTTTGGGTTGTTTTGTGGTATCAAGCAATGCCAGCATTCTAGCTCATCCCAGTCACACACCTTTTGAATGTGAGGTAGCTGTCCTTAGCAGGAAAACCACTTTTCCCTCTTGGATGTATTCCCCCTTGCAGCATATTTGGTTTTTCACCTCCTGACCAAGGGGAGTGGAAATGATTTGTATCTGTCTAAGCTTGCAGCCAGCATTGGTGTATAACTTGTACTTTGCCACAGCTCCCTGTGGTTTGTAATGCAGCTAACTGGCACTGAGGGTGAGTGGGGAATTTCTAAACAGTATTTACAGCTCAGGAAAACACTTTTGTGGTTCATGATTTGATTTCTTGGAGATTCCTCCATTGCAACACTAGGCTCTGCTGGGACTGGTTGAAAAGGGAAGCCAGTATTCCTACTGAGGCAGTTTCAGACCTGCTCATGACTGATGTAAAAAGCACTTCCCTCCTGCACCCAGTGTGTTTGTGTATTTTGTGCCCCTTGAAGGCATACTGGCTGTTAGTAGAAGCTTCTGATGCTTGTGGGCAGGGGAGGAAATCATCTGCATCTGAGATGCCTTGGAAATCCGAAAAGCATCACATCATAAATAAGCAAACAGAAAGAGGAAAAATAAATAGGCAAACTCTGCTAGTGGTAATTGATCCAGGTAATGAAATGTCAAATGATTTTGCCTGCTCTTAGCTGATCATACAGTGAAAGTTCTCTTCCCCATTTACTTTCCTTGCTTGCCCTCTGCAGAGATTCTGCAAGTTGCTGAAGAGAGCAGTTTGGTAGTTTGGGGGTTTTTCTGTTGTTTGGTTGGTGGGTTTTAATTTGGTTCAGCTTATTTTCTTTGGTGAGAGGTTTTTTGCAGGGGGAGCAGAGAGGCTTTTTGTTTGTTTTGAAAGTATTCCTTGCTCCTGTGCATGTGAACTCTGTCCCTGCTTGCTGAGGGAACAGGAGCTGGCATAATGAGGGTGGTAAATGCTGTTAGTGATGCTTGGGGCCTGTCCAAAGCAGGGAATTCAGGAGAGCTGCACAGTGTGCAGTGGGGAGGTGGAGCTGTGTTGTCCTCTCCTGCTGCAGAAAAAGTCTGCAAGGGGAACACATCCTCTGCAGGGTGCTTCTTGTCTCTTCCTGAATTTTATCATCAGGAAGCTGTTACCAGAATAACTGCTTCATAGTGATTTCTAGCATGGGGAGAACCACGGGATGTACTTCTAGCTCAAAAATGAGGAATTTGAGCCAGCAACACATGTGCACTTGTACTGGGTGTTCTGTACTGTATGGGTGGTGGTGAAGCTCTGCATAACAAAAGGAGTTCTCCAAGTATTCTGTTTATTTGGATTTTTAATAACAAGAATCTGCAGCCTCCAAGAATTCTACTTTAATACTGAGTGTAGCAGTAACTTCAGATGCCCTGCTCCAAATACATTTTAACTTTACATTATCTTGTCACATTCACACTTAGCTTAAGCTTTTATTTCTCACATAGCAGTCAATCCACAGCCAAAGGAATTTGGAGCATAACTATACAATTCCTTACTTGTTTCTGATCCTGGAAAGTGTAGTATTAAAATATGAGGTAAGGACCTTTCATGGCAAAAATGGAAAAAAAATGTAAATATCTGCAGAACTTAGCAGGATTATGATAAGAAGTGACTGCCACTTATGACATATTTTTTAAGGAAACTCTGCCTTAGGGAGGATTATTTGGCGATTTAACTTTTTTTTTCTTGTTTCTTTCTTGGGTTTCTCATCTCTTTCTCACCTCCTCTCACCGTGACCTCTTAGCAGAGGGGAGCAAAGATGGATATGCAGCTGTGAAGGCAACAGAGCTGCTGGAGCAGAGACAGTAGTCTGGGCATAAGGTGAAGTGATGGTTTGTGGACTTGGTTGTGAAGACAGATAAAGTTCTTGTGTCAGGTGCAGTGGTCACCAATAGGTAGTGGGCTGCTCCATTGTCAGAGTATTGAACAGATTTTTCTGTCAGGCATGAGAGACCAGGATTTCTGTGGGTTGCAGCATGTGCAATCAATCTGGCAATAAAAGTGTCTGAATTGCATAAATATCCTTGAAGAGAAGTTTTTCCATATCTTAGCACAGCAAAGAAGGCAAGTGAAACATTCTCTCAATCACATCTGCGCATACAAGGGTACCTGAAGTGATGGCTGAATTTCTCCAACCTCACAGAAGAATGCTAAGGCTTATCTTCAAGCTGGCTTTGAACTGAGAACCTTTAAAAAGAATTTTTGTGTATGCTAAATATAAGAATTCTCAGTAGGATAAGTACCAGCCCAGAGTGTCAGCAGCACATGAGCTTTGTGGTAATTCTGTTCACGGACCTAAGTGATTGTTCATAAGATGTTAACATTTCTAATTGTTTTTTCTAAATTTTCCACAGTCTAATCAAGGATATGGATAATATCTCTCCTGAAAAAAATGATGTCAAAAGCTGCCCCCGGGACTCTGGATATGACAGCCTATCCAACAAGCTGAGCATATTGGACAAGCTCCTCCATACCCACTCTGTGTGGCTGCAGCTTGGTCTGAACGATGCTGAAGCCTTGGAAATTTTGCAGACACAGCCTCCTGGGGTAAGAAGAATCTCAGTTTCTTTAAGGACGTGCTTTTCCCAAATGTTGTGCTGCCATTTTATGTGACGGTGTTCACAGGGGTTTTTAGGATGAGAGAAGAGACGAGGATCTGACTCCATGTTTCAGAAGGCTGATTTATTATTTTATGATATATATTACATTAAAACTATACTAAAAGAATAGAAGAAAAGGTTTCATCAGAAGGCCAGCTAAGAGTAGAATAGCAAAGAATGATAACAAAGGTTTGTGACTCGGGCTCTCTGTCTGAGCCAGCTGGGCTGTGATTGGCCATTAATTACAAGCATACAACATGGGCCAATCACAGACCCACCTGTTGCATTCCACAGCAGCAGATAATCAATGTTTACATTTTGTTCCTGAGGCCTCTCAGCTTCTCAGGAGGAAAAATCCTAAGGAAAGGATTTTTCATAAAAGATGTCTGCGACAATTTTATACCCAGGTGTTAGACCCACTACAGTAATGACCAAGTGAATTTACAGTATGTTTTAGAGCAGACATCATGGGATTGTTGTGGTTCCTTTTTGTATATGATCTGTATTTATTCTGGCATCTGTGATGAAGCTAATACCATGTCCTTCTGCCTTCTCCACAACAGATATTTCTGGTTAGGAAATCTGCAAGGCTGCAGAGGAAAGTCATCTCTCTGCGTGTGTCCAGTGACTGTGGGTCCTGCCTGAAAGAATTTGCCATAAAAGAAAGTACATACAGTAAGTTGTGAGTTACATACTTTTCAGCTGTTCCTCAGGTACTTTTTCCCTGTAGGATGCAGGAGCATTTGCACTGCTGAAACCCACAGCAGAGGATACCCAAAGTCATGCAAATAATGTCATGGGCTGCTCTCTGAGGTGGGCTCTGGGAGTGGGTCACACTACTTGAACTGGAATGTTTCTACTGTGTACCTTGCTGAATCCAGTATTCATTTATTTTTATGGGTAGTTTTCCTCGTAGAAACTTCTAATCTTTTGTAGAAACATGGTCTGTAATCCTGTCTGCTTTCAATGAAATGTTCTTGAATGCAACTTTGTCATGAGCTCTCTGAACTGAGGTGTGGGATGGGTTGTTGGGTTTGTTTTTGTTGTTGGGGTTTTTTTGGTTGTTTGATTTTTATGTGTGTGATAGCTGAATGGATTTTAACCTGTTAAAACTGTTTCTGTTGCAACAGACCAATGATTTCTCTTTTTAATTCAAACTATATCTGTTCTTTCTTTTTTTAGTAGAAATGAGCAAATGTTAACACTCCAAATTGTTTTGAACCAATAATGCCCTCATATCTTTAGAAGGGAGAGTGTGAAAAATAAGTTTGAGATTTAGGAATGAAAAAAAGGAAGCTGCAGCTGGTGAGTGTATGTGGTGCTGAAACTGCAAGCGGAGCAAATATTTCATTTTAACAAGAAAGAGAAAACTGAAGAAAATTAGCAAAAGTTTCAGTTAATCATCCCTGAAACAGAGAGTCTATAGTTAACTTCTATTTCTATTTGTAAACTGACATAATTTTGGTTGAGTTTTTCCTTTTTTATCTCTCCCTCCCCTGCACCCAGGAACAAAAAGTTAATTCTGTGTGGTTTTAGTTCCAGCTACAAGCAAGGCAAGGCAAAGAGAAAGTTGTCAGTAATAGTTGATGTAAGTGTGGTCTAAGGCTTTGTTTATAGGCTTGAAATTCCCATCTAGAAAAGAATTATGTGCTGTCTTTTATGAAAAAAATTCTTCCACAAGGGGGAGATATTTACTGATGGCTTTAGCCATTTGTCACAGCTGAGGTTTTAGACCAGAGGCAAAAGATCTGGATCATGGCACTGTAGGAGCTTTTTCTGCTTGATCTGTGAGGTTTTCTACTGGCTTCAGAGAGAGCCTGAGGTAATCTCATTATTACTGAGAATAAGTATTTGTATCAGTAAGAAACAATGGTATCAAGTAGGGAAAAATGAAAGGCACTGCTCCTGTCTTCCTCTTCCCTTTTGCAAGGCAATGGCATGCAACAGCTGTCAGAGATTTTAAGCATTTTCAGGTTAAAAGTGAATGAAAATTTATCTCCCTTTATGTTCTACACTCCTAGGGTGAAGACAAGTGAGTAGAATAGAATTGAAGAGGAGGAAATAAGGCATTTAAAATTAGGTATATTAGTACACTGGGCAAACAAAGCCTCAGTTATTGATTTGTTGTCTATTAGCAAAACATTGTGCAGGCCTCATCACACTTAATCTGTTTTACAGGAATTAGACCATATCCTTGGAATACAAAAGCAGACCAGCCACCAAGATAATCAGTATATTCTTGAAAATGCCTTCAGCAGGAATATGTACTTCTCCACAGAGTTGTTTTCTCTTAATCAAATAGTAGCTAGTTTGATGGTGAAAACTTACTAACTTCATGCTATAATCTAAGATATATTTTATTAAACTGTTTTAAGAAACAGTGGATTAATGTGTGATTGTTTCTTGTAACTTCCTTTGCAGCATTTTCCTTGGAGGGGTCTGCAATAAGTTTTGCTGATTTGTTCAGACTCATTGCTTTCTACTGTATTAGCAGGTAAGATGGTGCTGTGTTCCAAGCCACATCTGCTAGAAAGAAAATAATTTCAAAAAAATTAGTTTTGAGGAGTTGTTTCAGCTGTTGATGCTATTTATGTTGCCAATCTGTGAATATTCCTGGATACCTTAGAAGGTAGTGGTAGAAATCAGAGATGAGTCTTGGAAGCAAGTGTCTCTGTCTTACATCATATTGATTATTGGGAGGCTGATGTGATTTTACACACCCAGCTGTGAGGTGCTGCCAAGCTGAACTTTACTTTAGCTGATATCTTGTGATGCTTTCTTAAGTGCTCTGTAGCTCATTTAAGAGCAATCATAAACTGGCTTGCAAAGCCCATTTCTTGGAATTGCTGGTGAGAAGAATTTTTGGAGCATAATGGAGAAATGTCAGATATGTAGAATATGACAATTGGGAGATGTCATTTTAAATAGTGAATGACAAAAATGGCCTTGTCAGCTTTGCAGTTTATGATTGCCAAACTTGCTTTCCAGGTATGCAGAAAAAATGTAGCTGGTGTTTTTATCCTTTATGTTCAATTTGACTTCAGTTTACTGGTGAGAATTTCCAGACTGAGGCTTGAGCCTTGTATGCACACACAGACAGGGCACAACCAAACTGCCCCAGTGCACATTTTCTGAAGGAAGCAGAGAGGCAGCTGTGATAGCCTCAGTCCTTTTACTGCATCAAGGCTGCCAGTTCATGCTGACCATGTGATGATTTCTGGTGTGGGATGCTCTTGGGTGCTGGGCTTGCTGGTTTTGTTTGTGGAGAAGAAGCATCTTAGACCCCTTTCCTACAGCCTCTGTTTAGCTGAGCTGTAGGTGCATGTATAATAAAAGCAGCATTGGTGCCCCATGGGTAATTGGTCAGAACTCAGAAGAGAAATGAGCTGAAAATGTGTTTAAATGTAGTTTAATGAGGAGATATTCCTTATCTTGTCACCCTTTCAGTCCTGCCCACTTGAGAGGCTCTGGTAAATTCTCTCTAAGTACCTACAGGATCATTGTGCAGAGATTTCATGCATTAGTCTATCCGTTTTCTTTCACTGAAGGTTCAATATTGCTTTGTATAGACTAAAGGGGGCAGATAGGTAGCTATTGTGAGAAAGAGACAGAACCATTTGGTACATCACAGGAAATCCAGGAGGATTTTCTAAAACCAGAGGGAATTTCTTGTAGAAGGTACCCAAGCAGTTTTTTATGAGAGTTTACCTATTTTTAAATTGCAGCCATGGTGATGATCTGGGCTCTGGATTTTCTGTGGTATCATGTAAAGTGCTTTTCAAATACTTTTAATCTAGTGTATCACTCTTGTGGCATATGCTGGGCTTGAGTGTGAGTGGAATTCTGAGATCCTGTTTTTTTCAAGAAGCTAACATGCAACATAGAGACTATTTATGTGATAAAGACCTACTATCTGTCTGTGCTATAGCAGATGGTTGGCTTGCTCACAACCTTAAAACCAGAATTCATGCTGACACCAGTTGTGTAGGATTCTCATTTAGTCTTAATTCTGTGGGTACTACAGATGTTGCTGTTTAGCAGCATTTAGTTAGAATAAAATTCTTATTCTGAAAACTGGAATAACAGTCAATGGTTTTTTCAGAAAGTGAGAAGCTTTTTTGAAGTGTTGAGGGCAGGTAACAAGTTTGTATCTCACTGATCTGCTTGTAGAAGACCAGGTGTAAAAGCTTCTGTTGGAAAGGCAGAAAATTCTGAATGGCTCTGTGGAAATGATCCTAAGGAAAGTGTTGGGTGCTTGGCTGTCATTTGCCCTTCACACCTCTCTGCAATGTAAAGAAGCTTTGGGGTTGGTAATGTAATGTTTAACTGTGCTGTGTGTTTGAGGATCTTGCTACCTGACACAGCTCAAGAAGATAATCAGAAATCATACACTGCCAGTGTTGTGGTTTTTTTTAAAAAGAGATTTTCAAACCATGGATGTTGCCGAAAACCATAATGATTTTTCTCTTTGGAAACAGGGATGTCCTTCCATTCACACTGAAGTTGCCTCATGCAATTGCTGCAGCAAAGACAGAAGCTGAGCTTGAAGAAATTGCTCAGCTTGGACTGAGTAAGTAGTTCCCTACACAGATGTCTTTCCCTGTAGCACACCTGTAACATTGAAGAAATAATCTGTATCAGTAAATAGTTCATATTGGTTAGTGATGATACAAATTTTGTTTAGAAAAGCAGTTTCTCTTATTTGGGAAGGCCAGACCTCCTTCTGGCCAAGGAGTGGTGCTCTTCCTTCCTTCTGTGCCTTCTGTGATATTTTGGTTAGTGCTGTTTCTTTCTTCCTTCTTCTCTTCCCTCTCTGGGCAGCCCTTGGGCAAAGCAAGTCACACATTCCCCACACAGAGGTTGATGTGGCTTCTGCTCCAAGACCAAACTGCATGCTCACATAGCACTGGCTGTGTGAGGCTGTGTAAAGCACTGGCTTTATAATTTATGGTGAGGAGAGTGTAGGAACTGAGGTCCCCTGTCGATAAAACTTCTGTTCAGATTGACATGAAAAGTTAAAATGGTGAATTTGGAGAGCAGTGCCTCAATGAGGTGGCGTATTTAGAAAATGAGGAGTGTATATATGATGGTGTAGAATGTATCCATGGGCAGGGATTAGGTGAAATTTTTAAAATACCAGAAGACAATGCAAGAGTGTCCTTGCATCACTTGGTTGATTCAGCCAAACACAGGCTCATTGTAAAGCACACCTTGAGCTCAGAGGAGATGGATGCAGAGCCATTGTAAAGCACACCTTGAGCTCAGAGGAGATGGATGCAAAGCCTCCTGGGATTTCAAACTTGGGCACCACCCAGATGAATCATTAAGCAGCTCTGCCTTGAGCAAAGTGCTGAATGGCTTCATTTCCTTCTCCAGGAAGGGAAGGTTTACTGTCAGCAACCTTTTTGCAGTAGATTTTTTAATAATCTTTGATTTTGAAAAGGATCCTCTCTAAATCAGTGTGCTGAGGATCTTTTGAACTGTCTGGTGGGACTTTGCAGTACAACCATACCCAGGGATGTATTGCAGTGCTTTGCATTTTGGTTTGCTGCAGTAGCAATGCAATTAAAGGGTTTGTTTTAGAGAGGAGAGAAATTACTTCTGCACTGCTTGTCTGCAGGTTTAGATAATCAGATGAAACTTTGGGTTATCATGGGAATGGAGGCAAATATGGTAGTGTTGAGGTCAATGTTTAGATGGGAAAAAGGAAGGAAAAGGTCTGACTGGGATAGAGTGTAATGAAAACAGTCTCCCAGTGACACATGAAGCCTTAAAGTAGCATGAGGTGAGTTTCTGCAGAAGGGATGATAATGGTAATGTTCATCAAGCTCTCCAGGCTAACCACACTTTGTCACCAGTACCCCAGAGCTCTGTGGCCTGCTTGCTGCAGAATTAGTCTTGTTCTTCAACATTCTCTGCATTGTGTGTGTTTCTTCTGTAGCTACTACATTTGAAAGCTGATGGATCAGTGTCTGTATTTGGGATCAATTACCTGACATACACCAGATCACAGTTTCCATGAGCTAAAAGCAGGCAACAAAGTTGAGATTTTGATGGAGTTTTAGGTGTCCATGTGCAGAAGAGCACACCAGAAAAGTCAACCTTTTGATGCTGTGGACTCAAGAGAGGCCTAAATACTCTCAACAGCCCTTCCTGTTAAGTGTGAGTTTTCTTTGAGGAACACCTAAGCACAAAACCCTGTGGTCTGTGAACCCAGGGCTGTATCCCCTGTCAGAGCTCTCTTGTGCAGTAGGCCCAGAGGGAGAGCTGCACAACACAAGTCAATAGCCCAGCAAACCACATCAGGAGGAACTTCTGCTAAAGATTTCAAGGCTGTTGCCAACCTGCAAGGTTTCATGTGCTGGACATATGATTCTCTCTCAGTCTCCCTCGTGTTTCACCTGCAGCAGTGCTTACATCACGTGTGTTTGCAGCAGCCACGTGCCAGGCACAGGCACTGAGAGATCGGCAGGCAGGATGTGAAGTCATGAAGCTGGGAACACCAGCAACATGGCATAACTATGCAGAGAAGCATGCCTGTGCCTGTAGACATTCTCTGGCTGTGGCCTGTCACTGTGGGCTGTTTCCTGTCCTCTGCCTCACAGGCAGGACATGGCTCTTGGGCATGGACTTGTTCTGGATGCTTGGCATTTGTGCCCTTGGGCTCAGATATTATTGCTCTGTTGCTTCCAGTGAGCCATCTTGACACACTATGGGAAAAGGACCATGTCAAGATTGGCAAATTTTAGCTAAATCTCCCTCTTCTGGTACTTTGCCATATTTCAACATGATTTCTGCCTTCAAGGGCACATCTGGTTTCAATCTTCATACCTTCAGGCACCAGCGCTCTTTAGCAGTGCCTTGGTTGCACAAACATGCTGACACTTGTCTGGGATAAGTGCAGAGGCTGCAGCTGCAATTTGCTGGTGTAGCATAGGTTTTCCATGCCACTGGTGTGGAACTGCACGTGGGTCTCTTTATGTGTCACTGCAGTCTGTATTCTCAGGCAACCTGTCCCCACAGCAAAGGCAGGGCAGCAGGCCAGGACCTTTATTAGGCACTTGATTGCTTGGTCTGCCTTGCTGAAGGTGATGTGTCCATCCACCACAGCAAAATGGGAGCTGCCTTTTCATGTTTAGTTTCATGTGTTCACTATGAAAAGAAACTGAAGCAAGATGCTTGTGGAGTTTCTGGAAATGGCCTTTAGCTGGTGTAAATCAGCTTAACTATTGTCTTTAATGAAGTGAGCTTATTAATACCAACTGAGAATCTTGCTTTATTTCTCCTGAGTGAGATGCTAGTGAGAAGCTTGTGTTCATTTCAGTCTCAAGCCAGTAAAAAGTATTCTGTTACAGTCTCTATTCCTTTCTTTGATTCTCAGTTTAATTTTAAGCTTAGTGGGCTGTTTGGGAGCTATGCATTGCTCATGGTATTTATAAATGAGTAAGAGCAGCCCCAGGAATGTAGCATACAGTTATGGCTGGTGGTACTTTAGAGGTTCACTTGGATTTTTTTCCCCTTTTAATTAATAAAATCTTGCCTAAATTTCTCAGTATTTTAAACTGATGTTGTTGAGTTGAATGTTCTGAAATCCATCTGCATGGTGTTTAGCATTCTTACGTTAATGCAATGATGATTTTCAGACTTTTGGAGCTCCCTGGCTAACAGCAAACCCCCGGATCCTTCACCTCCCTGTAGGCCTGTGCCTTTGGACAGTGCTCGCAAAGACTCGCGCCAGCTCTGCCTTATAAATGGAGTGCATTCTATACGAACCAGAACGCCCTCGGAGCTGGAGTGCAGCCAGACCAACGGAGCTCTGTGTTTCATTAATCCCCTCTTCTTAAAAGTGCACAGCCAGGATGTCAGTGGAAGTCTGAAAAGGCAGAGCCCCAGAACTCCAGACGTGAATGGCACAGCGAGGGCCCGCTCCCCCCCGCCCCGGCCGCCACCTCCTGCTATTAATAGCACCCTGACGAGCCCGCAGATTTCCAGGACTATAAAGCAGGCGAGCATGCCAGAAACACTCAGCCACAAGAAGGAGAGGGGCTCGGATTTGCTGCAGAACAAGCCCACCCCGATTCCGCCTCCTCGGCTGAAGAAGCAGGCGCTGTGCTCCGAGGCAGACGGTGCCTCCAGGAGCGCGGCCGCGCTTCGGCCCCGCTCCTCCGTGTGCGTGCCCGAGGCGGCCCCGGCTGCTCCTCCGTGTGAATCCCCGCCAGCCCTGCCCCAGCCGCCTCCAGCGGCTCCCAAAAAGACTCCGGCTGCCATCTCTGAGTCACACATCCCGTGGAATGGAGGCCGGCAGAGACTGAGCGACATGAGCATTTCCACCTCCTCGTCCGACTCGCTGGACTTCGATCGGAGCATGCCGCTCTTCGGCTATGAGGGGGACACCAACAGCAGCCTGGAGGACTTTGAGGGGGAGAGTGACCAGGAGAGCATGGCACCCCCTCTGAAGCCCAAGAAGAAAAGAAGCAGTTCGTTCGTTCTCCCCAAGATTGTGAAATCTCAGCTACGGAAAGTCAGTGGAGTTTTCAGTTCCTTCATGACCCCCGAGAAGAGGATGATTAAGAAAATTGCAGAGTTGTCCCGGGACAAACGTACCTATTTTGGATGCTTAGTGCAGGACTATGTCAGCTTTCTGCAAGAAAACAAGGAGTGCCATGTTTCCAGCACTGACATGCTGCAAACAATTCGTCAGTTCATGACCCAAGTCAAGAACTACTTGTCCCAAAGCTCCGAACTTGATCCCCCAATCGAATCACTGATTCCTGAAGACCAAATAGGTAAGAAACACTGTCCTGTGTTTTGGGGGGAAGGTGAAAATGTGGAAACTGTGTAATAAGTGATAGTCTTTGTCCAGTTCAGAAAGGTGGGGCTAACTTGGCTAGAAGAGCTTAAACCACTGAGTATTTGAGTCTTAAAACGAGACTCAATTCCTCTCCTCCATTCCCCACCCCAAATCACACTGTTGGCTTGGGATGATTACACTATGAAGTTGTTCATAAGAAGTTATCCTTAAAATAAGTGCAATGTGGACTTTTTAATCTGTGATTATTACTTTTTTTACCTGCTTTACTGTTGACAGTACCCTTTATTTTCTGGCACACATGTGTTTTTCTCTGAATTGGACTGACATAGTTCTCAATGTTTGGTCTAAAACTGCCAAAGTTGACCATATGGACTGTAGCTGTAGAACTGGAATTTATTCAAAACCAATGATGTTTTATGACAACTTAGTTTTGAAATAAATCTGATTCCTCCAGACATTCTTAGTCACTTCTAACAAAGCTGTACTATCCCTGCACTTGAAACTAAATAAAAAGATATGTAAGAGTTTTAGAAAACAAACATGTGAAGGAGACAGAAGGGGCTGTTGTTTTCTGTAGTTTTCTGTACTTCTCTGTTAGATGTGTTTGTGGGTGGTTATGGATGAGCTATATGTTTTAACAGGAGAGAGAGATTTGTGTATCCAAAAAAGTGAAATCGTTGTTGGTGCATAAATCTCGCTGCCTCTCTTGCAGAGTCTGAGCAGTATTTGTAAAAGAGCCTGTAATCCACATTTAAGAGGTAAACACGCCTCAGGGCAGAATACTTTCCTTGTGAGCTCACTTCAGTCCTAATTTGTTTGTTTTTCTCCCTACCCCAGTGTCCCAACAGTTGGCTCAGTGCAAAATTGGCAGACACTTCCTTCCCTGGGACTAGGGGGTAATTTTATATTGACATTCTGTCTGTCCTTGACCAAGATGAAGTATTCTCATGTAACCTCAGCTTCATTTACACAAAGTCAAGCAAAAGTCACAAGGGCTGCTAAAGCAAATACAAAAATGTGAAAAGTGCCCTCAGTATTCAGACTCAAAGACATGTAATATTCTCACTATAATAATATAGAGTGTTAGGTGGATGTTACATGGAAGAAAAAGCACCAAATTAAGCAGGGGATGGAGGTGCATTTTTGCCTGCATTTCTGTAGAGTGCTGGATGTTTGACAAAGCAATTCAGATGGAGTTTGGTTGTAATTTTGTGAAAGCCTAGTTTGTTATGTAGTTTTCATTTCACAAGGGTGTGGTTTAATCTGAGACTGTGGGTCTCCCAAGACTGGAAAAAATGTTGTCTGCTATTAACTGTTTCAGACTTTGAAGCCCCTTAAGCTATCAGGTATAACAACTAAAACTGCCCTGGTTTTCTTCAGCGACAGAAAGTCTGGTTTTGATCATGTGACTAAACACAATTAATTTATAAAGTGGGCTGGTTTAAATAAAAAAAGAACTTGCTTTTGAATCATCTACTGCCTTTGGCTTGAGCCAGCAAACAACTGCAGTGGATCAGGAGCATCAGATGTTGCTGATCTAAGGAGATAACTATGTGACAGCAAAATTCAGTCATCCCTATGGAGAACTTTTTATGAAGTAGAGTCCTGCCTGTTGTCCACAGTTTTCCTTGACTATTTCAATATGGAATTGCAGCCCAAATTGTAACTTTGTGAGTGGTTGTTTATCCTCTCTCATCTGTCCTCACTTCCGTGGTGCAGTTTTTTCCTCCAGCGTGTCAGCCTGGTGCTGGATGTGTGCTTCTGGGATAATGCTCCTCCTTTCTGACTCATTCAGCCCTTGCTTTCATCCTCTTTTGTCTCCCGAACTTCAGTAGGTGCTGCAACAGCTCCCACAGGTTTGGTGGAACCCTTGATGTTTGGAACTTCTTTCAATGTCTCCATAATGATCTTTTTGATCGTGTAGCTTTTCTTTTAGAACTGCATCATGGACTCTTCCAGGCAAAAAACTTCTTCAGCACATCTTTTGAGCTTCCCAGTTAGGGAAAATTGTTAAGCTTCTGCAAAATCACTGGGAAAATATCCTTCAGGGTTTCTAGTCCTGACAGATGCCTCCCAACCTTGGTACTGCAGGCTGTTAACCCTCCCTGAAGCAATGGGACTCCCAGTGCTGGCACAGAATCAAGAGTAAGGCACATGGCTCTTTATTGTTTAAGGATGAATGTAATTTATTTTTATAAAAGGCATCCACACCTCAATTTGTATCCACAGAATAAAGACTGGTCTGAGGAGATCCTGGTAGTCCAGAGCTGCTTGATCAGCAAATGTTTGAGAGTTTTTGTCTTTTCATCTTTTCCTGGCTTTGAACAGAGCGGAGTCAAGTTGAATGCTGTCACTTTGCCAAGTGGGATCTAACATCTGACATCTAAACAACTTCAGTCTCAGTGCCCAAATCTGGTCCTGAACCAAGAAATTTCTGGTTTAAACTACTTGTCAGTAAGGTACTAACTGATCATGTGGGAACGCCCCTAAACAATTCCTTCTATTACTTGGTTTGGTATTTCTAATCTGTTATGGGAACTAATATTTCTAATATGTTAGGGATATTTAAATGCTGAGTGTTAAAGAAGCTTGGGGAGAATGTGCTGGTCCCTTACTGGCAGTCCATGCCTTATTGAAGGTCCTTGGGTCTGTACAGAGGACTTTCAGGCAGACTGAGCTGGACATACAAATTAACTGGAGCCCAGGACTGACCCCCATGGTACCTCTTCTCCAATGTCTGTCTTGTTTGACAGCCAGCCATGGATACTTGGGCTCTCAGTGCAGTGTTCTGTGCACCTGTTAGTGCATGCTGCTTATGGTTATTACAGCAAGACAGTATTTCCCTGGTTTGTTTATATGGAAGGTGCACAGAATTATGGGTCTTATGAAGGTTAAGCAGCAGCCCACCCCAGATCCCCTCTTCTTTACTAATCCAGTTACCTCCTAAAGGAGCTAGAATGGTATGTCACTGTTTCTGCTTGAAAAACTCATGCCAGCTGTTTTTTTCACTGTGTTACTTTTTTAGGTGCTTGTACATTTGTCCTGGTGTCCTGTCCTTCGTTGTTGCATCTTTTCATGTTGAGCTCAGTCTCACAAACATGTCCCTTAGTGCCCCTCCTTTCACCACAGCAGTGACAGGACAGGGCAAGCAGGAAGCAGTGATGAAAGTACTGAGCAGAGGCAGGGACCAGGTTCTGTTTCTCACCATCCCTTGGATTTCCTTTGTGACTTTTCTCCTGCTTCTTTTCTCTCCTGCTTCTTCAAGAGAAGACACGTGCTTACCACACAGCTACAGCATGAGTTTTAAGTAACTCACAGCTGCTTAAAGCAGAACACACCTAGCACAGATAGCTGTGTGATTTTTTGGTGTGTGTTTCTGTAGGCTAGATGAGGGGAGGCTTACTTTCATCCTTAGTTGCTTGGTCTCTGCCACCCCTGCCTGTAGATCAACCACCTCAGTTTTCAGGGTTGTGCTGATTATCAAGGAATATAATGTGGGTTGTGTGAGGTCCTGGTCCTGTGGAGGAGCTTGCCATGTCTGCACCCACCAAGAAATGGGTGCTTGGCCATCACTCTGTGGTATTCCAAAGCAACTTTGTGCTCTCAGCTGCCAGGCAGCGTGACCTGTGCAGGACTGGGCCTTTTTGTGGTGGCTCTCAGGCTCACTCAGTCTGCTGCTGACTCTCATTGCCCTGGTCAATGGTTTGGCCACGGTGAACAGGGCTTGAGTGTGAATTGGGGGACTGGAATGGGACAGTCATGTCAGCAATAGTTGGTAGGTAGGAGGAAAACAGGGCCTGGAAAAGGTGAGAGCGTGCCTAGAGTTTGGGGAAGTGAGGGCTGTAAGGAGGCTGTGTAAGGACACTGGCAATGACTAATGTGTTGTCTTGTCTAGATGCAGACTTTGTGTGGTTGGCAGCAAAACAAAAATAGCATGTCAGCACAGGATACAGATGTGTTTCCACAAGTTACAACGAAACTAGCTGGCTGGCCTTTACAATTCATTTATCAAAGCACTTCCAGTTCCCATTTTGAGGCTACAGGCTAATTATAAGCATTTCAGGAACGATACACAGTGTTCAGCTGATATTATATTCAGTTTAAAAAAATTATCTGTTTTGGTTTTGGAGTTGTAAGCATCCTGGGAGAATATTTGAAAACATGCATCTGAAATAAACAAGTTTTTTTGCTGATTTGGATCTTAAAAATATACAGAGATGTTTAGGTAAAAAATAAGTCCTCAATTCACAACTTAGATAATGATTTGCCTGGGAAACCCTCATATAATTTTTTCTGACTCTTAAAAGTCAAACAATGAAAATTGCTGCTGGCTGAAAATTGGTTTGTGGGATCTTACCCAAAAACACCTTTCTGTGAAAGCAGCCAGAAGCAACAGTGCTGAAGAAAGGAATGGATGGTGGCTGGGTGGTCTGGCCCCAAAAATGCTCATAGGTGCCATGACACTGAATGTTGTTCTAAGATTCAAATCACAAGAAGTGCTGTCCTTCCAGGCTTTAATAATAATGTAATTTTTTTTGTAAGCTTTGTATTTATTAGGATACATATGGGTATTGTTGTTGACCATTAAAAAACAGCCCAACCCTTATCAATCTTGTTGCAGTTAGCCTGACCATCTTGTTAGATTTTGCCACTTTTTCATTTGAGGGCAGAACTCAGTGGTTCTCACGTGTGTGCCAAGAATTCATAAAGGAGAAGAAAAGGTTGTGTGTTGTTTTGAGGGTTTTTTGTGTGTGGTTTGAAGGATTTTAGTTTGTTGTGGTTTTTTCTTTGTTTTGTTGTGCCTGTGTGGAGCTTTGAGCACAGCCACAAGTTACATGATCCTTTCCTCTGTGCTGCTTCAGAATTATTTCAAGTTTCCATGGAAACTGTGGAAATGTGATGGAGTAAATTTCAAAGCAATTTCCAGGCACTGGAAATTGGATTACAGATTTTGGATCTTGTGACAAAATAGCAAATGTGAAAGAAATCTCCTTGCCATCTTGCACAGCTGTAAAAGTCTGCATGGTTCATCTGTGGAAGTGGCACTGCCTTTGGAAGGGTTGAGGGCAGAAACCCTGAGCATCCAAGGAGCACAGCCAAGGACTGGGGCTCTGGAGAGGAATTTTGTCTCCCAGCAGCATCCAGCTCCTGTGGGATCTGGGCAAGCCCTGCTTCTGCCTCCTGTTCCTGTACAGCATCAGTCACATCCAGAAACACACTGAGTTTCCCAAGGCTCCTGTGAACAGATGTTGTGATGACCCCTCTTTTGAGATGAAGGATGGTTTGTGCTCAATATTCATCTACAAAACTTCCAGTGGAAGAGTTCAGCTTTCATGGGGACAGAGCTCTCTCACTTTGCATTACAGAATTATGAGATGTTTAGCAGCACCAAGTGCTTTAATAAACAATCCCAGGTGCTTGGAATGCACAGGGCAGAGGTGTTCCTCTTACAAGCAAAGCAGTTGGTGTTTTTCCTATTTGAAAAAATCGGGTTGTAGAAATAAAACAAACTGAGTTGCCAAAAAAATTAGTGAAGATAGCAAGGAATTATTTGTATACTCTAGAATAGAAATTTAGCTAGCCAGTGTACCTGTGGGTCAGACTCGTGTGTTTTTCTTGGTGAAAAATTATTTCTGCAATTGTTTGTGTCCCGTGAGCCCTGAGGATTGCATTGATGGCAGGGAGAGGCAGTTTCTGTCTCTGTGCAGAAGAATGATGCTTCTATTTACCTGACTGATTTGGTGCTGATTGTGTGGCTCTACCAAGTACAATAGGTAAGGATCAGTCATTTGAAGTGTTGCCACTTGTTAGCATTGCTAATTGATGGCACTGATCTGGTGGGAAGCTGGATCCAGCCCTGGCTGCTGTGTGAGAAGCACCAAGAACATATCTCAGACTGATCATGCTTTTTCCAGTGCTTTTACTGACAAACACAGAAAAAATGCTACATATGAAGTCAGGGCACCATAGGATGAGAAATGTGTGTGTGAAGGGTGTTTATATGGGAAAGAGAGGGATGGAGACCCAAAAGGAAAAAGGGCTGGACACAAGAATATGATAAATGAAAGAAAGAAGCAAGAAAACAGAATAATGCTTGTTTGGAGAGTGTGTGTGTGTCTGTGTAAATACCAAGCCTTAGAAATAGTACGTGATTAAAAAAACAACAAAACAAAAGGGAGGTAGAGTAGAGAGAAAAGAAAGAGGCTGTAGTCTGAAAAAACCACAGAAGTACAGGCAGAGAACCTGGGATGGGCATGAGGTTTAATGAAGCTGTAATGAGTCACTGTTACTCACAAGAATGTCCACTGCTAATTTGTGTAAAGGTGTGACCTGGCAGTGACACAGCCTCTCCTGTGTGCTCTCTGTCTTTGTGCTCCTCTGGTCCCTCTGCCTGCTCCAGGCTCTGGAACTGCCCCACTCTGATGGCACAAATAATTGATTTAACTTAAGAACTAATGTAAGCTGTCTTGCCATAAGGATGCTGAGAAAGGAAATTAGCTTTTAAAGTAGAAGTGTTGAGCAAAGAGCTTTCTCTGTTGGCACAGTCCATACTATGAAAATGGAGAATGAGGCTTACAGAAAAACAGGAGTAGAACAAGAATTAAAAATAAGTCCTGAAGTTAGCAGTTACTGTGCTATGTGCATACAATTGCCAAAGAACTTCAAACTTGATGACAAAGCTGTATATAAGCTTGTGTGATGAAATCTGAAGCTGGAAAAACACAGCTTGGTTTTCATTTATAGCTTAAAGCCTGTAATCTGCCCAGCTTCATAAAGATCCTGACAAAGTTGTGCCAAGTTTTAGGAAATCTTTGTTGAGTTATAGTTTCCAATGGAAACTATGCAAAAAGAACAGGCTTTAATGCCAAAGGAGACAAAAATTATGATTTTGAATGTGTTTCACGTTAAGTTTGGGAGTTAAAGCTAAACTTAAAGTAAAATAAAACTTGCAGACTTCCAAGCAACAAAAGAAAAGTTTAATAGACCCACAGCTTTTTTTTTTGTTTTTGTTTTAACCATCTGTAGTCTGTCTGTGTGGATGTGGGTTTTTTTATTTACCACATTGCCAGAAATGACAATTCAATACAGATTCTGCTCTGCCTCCTGTTTTCATGTTAACAAACATCTAGAAACTCAGCTTGTGTAATAAATGGGCCTTAGAAAGTAAGTTTTGCTCGACAGGGTCTCTTCAGGGAATGGTTGTGTTAATGCTGGCTCTGCTTTAGAGGGGGAAGTCAGCTGGATTTGTGTTTTCCTGTTGCAGATGTTGTGCTGGAGAAGGCCATGCATAAGTGCATTCTGAAGCCTCTGAAGGGTCACATTGAAGCGATGTTGAAAGAGTTTCATACCACAGATGGTTCCTGGAAACAACTGAAGGAAAACCTGCAGCTGGTGAGGCAGAGGAATCCTCAGGAACTGGGTGTGTTTGTCCCAACACCAGACTTTGTGGACGTTGAAAAGATTAAAGTCAAGTTCATGACTATGCAGAAGATGTATTCACCTGAGAAGAAAGTCATGCTGCTGCTGAGAGTTTGCAAATTGATTTACACTGTTATGGAGAATAACTCAGGTATGGCGCTTCTGGTAGCTCAGGTTCACTGATATCTCACACCTGATGTTCAGCTCTACTGCTGAAGCTCTTGCAGCTTCTCCTTGCCCTTTTGAGAGGAATTCTTGCTCTCTGCTTCTGACCTGCTGTCTCTGGACTGTCTGGCTGCATATCTTAAAAACTCAGTCTGAAGCAGAGTTGTTGTCATGGGTGGAGTGTGAGCTTCAGGCAAAGTTGAGTAGAGAAGCCCTCCCATGGTGCAGGAAGGACCCTCATGGTTTCTGAACTCCTCAGAGAGGAGCCTGGGTGCAGCTGGATTCAGTCTTAGCCCAGGCTTTGTCAATGGTTTAAATTCCAAGGAATTATAGAGGTGGGATTGACCCTTTGTACAACTCGATCCTACAGGATTGAGGATGACAAACCACATATAGTCATATAAAAATGAATTCTTTATTATGATAAATTATTAGACCAAAAATATCTTAATCTAAATTATCTACTACACAGTCTAGAAGTAAAAACTACACTGTTTTGATATAGTGCATTATACTATATTAGATTATACTAGAGTAGTATAATCTAGTATAGTATAATGCACTATATCAAAACAATTATAATAAAGAAATTATATTAAAGCTACCAAAAAGACCCAAAATGATTACTGAGTAGAGATTGATGTTTCTTAACCAGGGGGGCCAAACCTCTTTTGCTCCTCGAGGAGTGGCTGTCAGGGGTGTTCCCACCCAAGGGAGGAGTGTCCACACACACTCCCAGAAAGGAAATATTAGAAGATCCTGCTGTCTGAAAGCAGGACTAGACTTTTAGAGTACAAAGTGATTGACTGTCAGCCAGATATCTCCATGCCAGCTGTGTCAGCCTCTGTATTTTTAGATAAAGATACTTTATTTGCCACATCGATGTTTAACTTTGGGGTTGATGAGTCAGACAGGGTTTAGCATAATTCAACACCAAAAGCAGCAGGACACCACTTTTTAGTTCACCACTGATAACTTTGCCAAACAGGGCATTGTTTTACCTCATTCCAGGCAGAGCATCCTACAGATCCTACACATCCTACAGATGTGAAACAATTGAAAAAGAGCAGCTTTCCTTAAGTGTAGGCTTTTGAAGTTGCCTGGCAGAAAGACTGTCCTGTGAGCCTTGAATTTAACACTGATTCTAAATGAGTATTTTTCTGCAAATTGTAATAGAGGTAACACCATATTTAGCTGTTGTAATTCAATAGCATGTATGCAATATGACAACTACCATGGTTTTATCTTAATGGGTGGAGAAAAGCAGCCTCTAATCCAGTATTTTTGGCTTGCTGTGCCACTGAATGTTCTCATTTGGACACTTTCTGTCATGCTTTTGGAACAGAAATTACATCTATTTCTACACTGTAGCAAGAACCCAAAAGCACCTTTGAAACCTAAATAATGAAATGACACTACAGGCCAGTCAAGATCTACTGAGCAGTCAGTGCTCCAAGATGCTGTGCTGGATGGCATGAATTTATAGGTGCAACTGTGACATTCTCTCTTGCACACTGCTATGACAGGTCATGAGCTAAGGTGTAGTAAAGCTGTGGTAGTGGGAGATTTTTTCCCCCTAAGTGAGTATGAGCTGCTGCAGGTGCTTGGCAGTTTTCTTTCTAAGGAAGCTCTGCATGTGCAGCTGGGTCTGGTGCAGATCAAGACACCTGCTTTCTTTGGAGATTGGAGATTAATGATGAAAGCTCATGGCTGTTAAAGCCCCCCACATGCTTTTACAAGATTTAGGACTGAGCTCCTGCCCAGCTTATTACTGCATTTCAAAATTCTGCATTTTAAAAGTGAATATAGGGATCTTGGCCTGAAGTTGTGTGAACTCATCTCTCCATACTGTGATGTGATTGCATTGAGTAAGGTATTTCCAACATGCACAAGGAAAATACTGAGAGGCTGCTGCTGGTCAAGTGCTGCACTGGGAGACTTGGGCTGAGATGTGGCAAGTGCTCATTGGGCTGTCTGATTTTGGCATGTGAAGTTTGTTAAACGTGGCATTGAGCCAGCAGCTGTTTGGGTATCTATCCTTCCAGCCAGGTAAGTGTGGTAGCTGGAGCGTGTGCCTCAGCTGGTGTCACTTAAATTCCACCAGAGCTCTGAGCTGGCTCCTGCTCTGGGCATTTCTGTGTGACCTTCATATCCATTCTGCAGTGAATTTTGCCTGACCCAGAGATTTGGCCACATTGGGATTTCTGAACAGAAAGTCAGAATGCAGGAAAAGTGCCAGGAGCACAGACAGGCTTAGGTACAGCACAGTCTGTGGATTATTGTCATTCCAGGCCCTTCAGTCACTCCCCATCTTTCCTGTAGGCTCCTTTCAGGTGCAGCCCCTGGTGTTTGTAGAACACCTCTCTGGTGTTTTTGACAATTGTCTGTCAAGGAAATGAGTTGAGTTTTCTGGTCAAATCTATAGACTTTTATATTCAGGCTTCTCTGCTGTGGGATTCATGCTCAGAGACTGGTGTTTGTGTCTGGGTGCTTCCAGAAAGTGGATCAATCCCTGGATATATTAAAAAAATGCCTATTCCTCAGCTCTTAGGCAATGGTAGCAGGGCAGGTGAAGGTCAGGCCAGACTGGCAGGGCAGCCTGTTCAGCACTTCACCAGCTGAGCTGCTGCCAGGGTGAGCCCAGTATAATCTCTGAATTTCCCTTGCATGCCTCAAGGTGTGCATCCCGCTTGTTTGAAGGACAGGACTGAGCTTGTCTCCTGTACAGTGAGTGCCAGGTGCTGTTCTCTCTGCTGCAGATTGGTGACTTTAGAGGTTCTGGAGTAGAGAAGGCACAAAAGAGTGTTTTCCTTTCAGACATGGGAAACTGGTAAAAAAATGTGGTTTGTCTCTCACTGCCTGTGTTCCCTTCCACCCAGGGAGGCTGTATGGAGCTGATGACTTCTTGCCTGTGTTGACATATGTGCTAGCCCAGTGTGATATGTTGGAGCTGGATACCGAAATCGAGTACATGATGGAGCTGTTGGATCCATCCTTGCTGCATGGAGAAGGTAATTATTTATTTTTATAGAACTGCCTAAGGACTAGTTGAGTTCTGTTTGAGTAGGAATCCTATTAAGGGGAGACCTAATGACAGTGTAACCAGAGAATGTCATCATCATTTCCACTGCTGGGGCAGCTTGCAGAGCACAAGCTGGAGTGGCTGGAAAATCTGCTGCTGTGTGATGCTTTGTGAGCAAATACATTGTTTCCAATCAGTTTTGACTCAGCAGGCAAACACATGTGCAGGTGCCCAATGGCCTGAGCCTTTTGTGCCTGAAAGTTTCCTGAGGGGATTTATGGGGCAGCAGCACTCAGCAAATTGTGAGGCACATAATAAGACTTGGGTTATGTGCCTTGTGATGACCTCTGGGGGACTTCCTTGCACCTTTGCAGAAATGCTTTTGAGGATATTGCCCCTTTTTAATGAACTTTGCTTCTTCCCAGCATTTGCTTCTCACAAAGTGTTTTTATGAGCTCTAGCAGTATGTTTCCTGAGGCATTTCTTGAATGAGGGCTAAAGTCTGCTGGAGGAAAGGAAATCTGCCTCTCCTGTTCCCACTCAGTATTTTTAATAAAGAAGTTTTCTGCAAGACCCTGGTAGGCCCCAGAATCTAAAAGGTTTATGAGGAGGTTTGAAGGCTCTTGCAGCCAAGCTTAACTGTGTGTTTGGGTATATATGTGTGTTTCCTGTTCCTGCTATACCTTGCTTTCTGAAATTGCTTTTCATGTACCCTCTTGCATGCTGTTACGCCTGGGAGAATCATGCCATAATTCCCTCAATTTGGCACTAGTCTGCTCCTTGCTTGGTGTACAGAACATCCTTGAGTGCATTGCTAGGACTCTTAGCATGGAAAATACTTGAGATGTGAAGCTGGAGATCATTAACATGCTTGAAAAGCAGAAAGGTTTATTGGAATATTAAGTCTTGCTGTTTTGAATGCAGCAAGGAAAGTCTGTCTGTTGGTTGGGCCTGTCATTGGCACTAGCTCAGCCCTGCTGTGCAGAGAAAATTGTGTAGGGCTTTGGTGTTGTGCATTTCTACTGAAATGTACTGTCCAGTTTGTCTAATGGGTCTTGCATTAATTTTATGTGTTCATCTTGTTGCAGAGCTAAAGGCTGAGAGGGAATGCTGTCAGTAATACAGAAAATACTACTGTGGGCATCCCATGCATCTCTGAATGCCTCTGAATAGACTGAGCACTCCCACCCAAATAGTTGCCTTTAAAAAGAAAAGACAGCTTGTCTTTTGTTTCTCCTGGTTGCTGCAGAGTGTTGCCTCCTGTTGAGACTCTTTTACTTTGTGATCCACAGCTTCTTTTGTGCATTGGCAACTCTGTTGTTGCTTTAATTTGTTCTCTGCTCGTGTAATAAATGGGGAGTGTGCAGGACTGTACACACCATCTCCTGAATTAGCTGGATATTCTGGAGAATGATAGATCAGTAGTTGTTTTAAAAATAAAGGCAACTCTTTGGGATGATTCCAGAGTACAAGTCTCACACTCAGTTGTTGCTTTATTGCCACTGAGAATGGTTGCTTTTAAGTTGATGAACAGGGTTAGATTGTTTTTTACTTTGTTTCAACAGCCATGTTTATTTCATCTGCCTCTGAAGCCTGGGAAGAAACCAAAACACTGTTAGAAAATTGTTTAGAATAAAGCTGGTGTTCCAAGGTTGGAGGAGTAAATATTCAGGAGTAAAGGAGTTACAAGAGTTGTTGGTTTTCCTGGCTTTTACAGAGATGGGGCAACTGAGAGGAGTTTTAAAAGATTTTATTCTCTTATCAGTCATTTAAGGAAATGTTTTTTCAGCAGGAGTGGACCCAAGGTTCCACTGTGCAATATGGAGCACATGCAACCCCTGCATGTCTGTGAGCAGCTGAGAACACACCCTCCAGTGCTGTGCAGGCCAGGGAGGGTTTTCCTTTTGTGTGTAAATATTCTGGCAACTTTCATATCTGTGTGTGTGGCTGGGTGCCTCTCTGTGGGTATTTATATATATCTCAAAGAAAACTGCCTGCACTTGTGACTGTGACCACTCTGAGAAGTTCTTCCCTTGCTGTCCTTCACAGGGGGCTATTACTTGACCAGTGCTTATGGAGCACTTTCACTGATCAAGAACTTCCAGGAGGAGCAAGCTGCCCAGCTGCTCAGCTCAGAGGCCAGAGACACACTCCGGCAGTGGCACAAGAGGAGGACAACAAACAGGACAATACCTTCAGTTGATGATTTTCAGGTAGAGCTTAGGGCTGAAATAGAAAATGGGATGATTGTGTTGCTGGAAATACCTATTTGAGAGGTGTCATTTGTAGCAAATTCCCTTGATGCTACAAGTGGAGTGAAACAGTGCTGAGATTGCAGGTGGCGAATTTGCCTCTTTGAAGTCTTGGCACTCACTTTTTATCAAACAGTTTCATTATGATGGTCTGAAGAAAACACTAAATAATAGAGCTTTCTTACCTTCCTTCTTAAGTCATGTGAAGCAAGGACAAACTGCATTGTATCTTAGATTCAGCTTTTTTGCACACTTTATTGTTCAAAAGATCAAATCCAGATTTCCAGGGGTATAAATCAGCCCAGCTGCCCAGCAGCCAGTGATGGCTAAAGCAGGTAGAAAAGAGGAGAGGTGGGAGAAATGTTCCTCAACAGTTTTGAAGTAAGCAGGCAGCAGAGTTTTGTGATATAGAAGTCCTCACATTTTTCTTTTTTGTCTTTTTTTTTTCTTGTTTGTCCCCTGTATTTTGTACTGCTCTTCCAGAGCAGGGCAGTACTTTCACCTGGAGAATAACAAAGCAGTGGTTATCACTCCATCTTCTGAGCCCAGGCCTGCATCTCTTCCATCTGCTTTGGACTGACTGTTAAGGTGCAGCAGTTTGTGAGCTGAAGGAGGGGAGGGAGTTGGAATTGGGAAGAGAGGATTTTCTCCTTGGAGTTCAGCAGTCTGCAGTTAGGAAGAGGAGAAGCCATTACAAGCAATTCCAGTGCCCAGAGCCTGTCCATCTCCCTGGGATCCACCTTCTGTTCTCGTGACCTGTACTTAGGTGTCAGATTCCAGCAGCTGGAGTCTTTGTTCTTCCTGCCAAAACTCTGCACTTTCCATAGGAGCATCCAGCACCTTTATTTCTGCTTGGTGAGGAAGTGACAGAAGATTCTTTCTGCAGGATTTTGTAGGAAGTTCCATCTTCTCTTTCTCTACAGATGAACTTGGTGCAGGCTCAGTGTTCACTTGGATGCAGGAAGATGCAGGGGGCAGGGAGGAGCTGGCTCTGAGTGTGTCCAGTGCTTCTCCTGCTGCTCTTTCAAAAGAGAGCCTGGAATTAGTGGATCCCACCACCCTCAGGATGTGCTTGGCACAAATGCAAGTGTTTTGCTGTCTGCTCAGAATGGCAATTCTCTCCTCTCTCTGAGTCTTGCAGTCCTGAAATGGAGCACCTGGCCTACAACCAGCATGGAACAAACATATCTGCAGCTCCAGTCATCCTCCTCCAGGGAATCAGGGTGTGGTCGTGGCATTTCTGTGCTGCAGTCTCACAGCCTTGCTGGCTCTTGGGCCCTGGAGGCTGTTTTTCTACCTTCCCTAAATGGAAAGAAAAGCAAAAACCCCAGTGCTTTGATGATGATGAAATACAGCTTTCTGGGCATCTGTAAAAAAATTTCAGCCTTTCCTTCCAGCAATCCTGTCCATCTAAAAACTTGTGCTTTTCAGGTCTTGTGTGTGGTAGCTTAAGTAAAAATTAAATCTGGTGTGTTTTGCCATATTTAGGGCTGGGTTTTTTCTACAAGTTCTTCAGGTAAAAAAAAAGACTTAGTTCTCTTCAGTCAGGTTCAGTCCCAATTTTTAGAATCTATTGCAGAGGTTTAGTGTTCAGTCTTTGTGGTATTAAGAAATACTTGATAAGACAAGAGTGCTCTTTGGAACTTAAGTCATTGGAAGATTCTTTTCAGTTCTACCTTTCAACAGCTTATTTCTGTGAGAGGTAAACCTCTACCAATGGGATTTTGCACACTTAATTTATTCAGCATACAAACCATGGGTGCCAGCCCAGTCAATAAACAACTCTTTCTCCCTTCAATTTTTTCCACCTCCTTCAATCTTACTGCAATTTAGTCTTTAATTCCAGCTATTTTTTTTCTTTTAAAACCGTCTCTGGTTTAGAGACAATTTTTGGAGAAAACACTCTGGAATTAACATTTTCTCTAAAGAAAATGAGTTTGGGCACTCCTTTGCCATCAATAGGAAAGGAATTTCTTGGATGAAAGTGACAAAATCAATTTATTTCAGAAACAAAGTGCCCACAGGGCAGGCAGGGAGAAAATTAATAACTGTTAGATATTCAAGCTCCTCGCTGCTGTTGGATTTTGAGCTCCCTCTTTAGCTGGCGTGGCCTCCCCCAAGGTCCAGAGCCAGGATGCAGCATCCAGCTCCCAGCAGTGGTCTGGTTATCACACCAAAGCTGAGCCAAGCAGTTCCAGAGGAAGGCACAGAAGTCACTGGAGGATTGCTGTTGCAGTCCCAGGAAAATCTCTTGCCTCAGCTAATAAAACCAAGGTAGTCCAAAGCAGAAATGTGACTCCCTCCACACCACAAAGCCAAGCCCATGGGGAGTGAGTGCCTGAACACAGCCCGTGCCAGAGCTCCCCCAGCTCACAGCCCTCCCCTGCACCCAGCCTAAAGCTCCAGGACCCATTTCTGGGCATAAAGCAGCCCATGGGGGAATACAGTATTACCATAAAATCACCCCAAGATGCAAACAAACAGGAAGCAGATGAAACTGCATTTCCATGTGGGGCCTATTTAGAATGTATCCGAGGGCGTGTGTCAGTTTCTACAGGAGGACATCCAGCTTTTGCCTCAAGATCAGGTGCATTTACTTGAATGTTGCAGAGTAAATTTTCTTTCTGAATCCCTGTAAAGCTGTTCTGTGAAGCAGGGTTAGGCCAGGCTTGGACACCAGGCTGCAGCTCACGGGATGTCCATAAGGAATCACCAGAGTGTGTTTCACAGCTGGAGCAGAGAGAGGCTTGCTGTTTGTTGCTGACTTTTTATTTTTCAGAGGCTAAGGACTTTTTTGACTTCCTGATGTCTGCTTTCTTGTTCACAGAACTACCTTCGTGTTGCATTCCAGGAGGTTACCAGCGGCTGTACGGGAAAGACTTTGCTAGTAAGGCCATACATCACTACCGAAGATGTCTGTCAGCTTTGTGCTGAGAAGTTTAAAGTGGCAAATCCAGAAGAATACAGGCTGTTTCTTTTTATTGATGACACCTGGCAACAACTGACAGAGGATACCTACCCTCAGAAAATCAAGGCAGAGTTGCACAGCCGTCCTCAGCCCCAGGTTTTTCACTTTGTCTACAAGCGCCTTAACAGCGACCTATATGGGGCCATCCTTCAGAACAGCCACGACTCGGCTGCTTAGAACCAGCAACCTGCCATTTTTATATCTGTTCCTTGGTAATTGTTACAAACATCTTTGTTGGCTGCCTTCCTTAGGAGCTAAAACGTGCCTTAAACCTGAAGTGCCTGGTGAAACACGTGCTGACAGTTCTGATGTCGCTTACAGGACCCAGGGGCACTGTGCACGTGGCCAGCTATGCAGAATATTCCACCAGCAAGTCTTGAGGAGACAGCCCATGAGCCTGCATTTCCTGTACCCATGGGCTCTTTTGCAGCATATTCTACTGTGGCCTTTCACAGGTCTTGGCTGTAGTGTGCAAAATACAATTTTCTGCCACTCCTTTATTTCCCCAGCTGTCACTTGCATTTGAATCCAAGTGCGTCTGTGGGCTGGGGTGAGCTCAGTTCTGCCAGCAGGAGTTTGACAAGACTGTCCGATGCAGGGCATCAGTTCACTCAGCATTACCTGGATGGTTGCATCCTTGTCTAATTTTTTTGATTACAGAAAATTGTCATGTTTATATATATATATATATATAAAATAGATATTTTATAGCAGTTGCAGGTAAACTGTCAGGGTTGGTTTTTGAAATATTTTTTTAACTAAAATATTCTATAATTATGCATGTGATTTTTAACATTTAATACACAAGAATAAATCTCTTGCTGGTTTTAGAGTCTTGCATTGATAGTCTGTGTGGTTTCTCTTCTTCACCTGTTCCAGGAGAATTCTTAGGAAACCTCTGTACCCTTGAGGCAGTTTTGCTGTCTGTTCTCAATTGTCTTCTGAAAATCAGACCATTTTATTCATTGTGCTTTGCAAAACACATCCTAGCATCTCATCACATTCATTCTGAGCACACTGTGTGTTTGGTCTTCTGCCTTTTCCTCTGTCCTTCTCCATGCTCCACTCCTGTTCCTCTCTTATTCTGTGTGGTGCTTTCCATGCCATTCTTTCCACTGGATACTTGTGAGCCACTCCCTGTCCCTGTTCTTTTTAATCCCTCTCTGTAATGCTGCCCATCCCAGTCTGGTTTTCTTTGGTTGGTTGTTTTTTTATTTTGAGGGTTTTTTGGGGTGGTGTTCTTGATGTGGGTTTTGTTTCTTGGGGTTTTTTTGGTTTTTTTTTTTATTTTTGTTTGTTTGTTTGTTTGTTTTGTTATACCTTACTTGTATTTCTTTTTTATTCTTGGTGGCTCTGTGGTGCTCCCATGTGCCATTATTTCTCTACTGGATCCTTGTGTCCCGTTCCCTGTCCCTATTCTTTTTTAATCCCTTTCTGTTATGCTGCTCATCCCAGGGTGTGTTGTTGTTATTTTGGTTGTTTTTCTCAATTTCATTCTGCACCTCATTCTTACTTTTCTTCCTGTGTCATCTCTGCTTCCACTCTCTCTCTCTGCCTCTTTCCTGTGACTGTGGGGCTGAGGAGGAACTTCTGGGGGTTCCCCCATTCTTGTTGCAGCAGAATCCCTTTTGGGGGAGATGTACTCATGGAAAGGCCTTAAATAAAGCACCACACTGCTGTCCAGGGCAGCTTGACTCGTTCTGTGCCTTCTTTGGGGCTGAGGAAGGAAGATTGAGGGGGAGGAGGTGGAGACTGGGGGGCTCTGATGTCTTTTGGGGCACCCCAATGTCCCTAGGAGGGAGAGCCAGGCTGCAGCCATGATATTTTCATGAAAAATCCTTTCCTTAGGATTTTTTCCTCCTGAGAAGCTGAGAGGCCTCAGGAACAAAATGTAAACATTGATTATCTGCTGCTTTGGAATGCAACAGGTGCATCTGTGATTGGGCTCATGTGGTTGTTTCTAATTAATGGCCAATCACAGTCAGCTGGCTCAGACTCTCTGTCCGAGACACAAGCCTTTGTTATCATTCCTTCTTTTTCTATTCTTAGCTAGCCTTCTGATGAAATCCTTTCTTCTATTCTTTTAGTATAGTTTTAATGTAATATATATAATAAAATAATAAATCAAGCCTTCTGAAACATGGAGTCAGATCCTCGTCTCTTCCCTCAACCTCAGACCCCTGTGAACACCGTCACACCAGGCTGTGGTGGAGGAGCAGGTGAATGGGGAATGAGGGGGATCATACTGGCCAGAAAATTCACAGGGAGGGCTGGGTGTAGAATACCAAAACCTGTCAAATTTTTCGTTCTTATAGGTATTGGCAAAGAATTGGAATTTATCTCTAAAACCATTTGGAAAGAATGATTTGGAAAGAATCTATCCATTCTGTTGTATACAGGAACGTAGGAGAAACTGACTAGAGATAGGTAGTTAATTTTGAAACCAATGTTACAACGTTTTTACCTAGGAAGGAACCAATCAAGTGCCTTGTGAAAAACACCAATCACTTGTTTTTAAAATTTTAAAAGTTTAATAGTAATGGTTATAAAAATTGTAATACAATTAGAGTAATAATAATTTGGACAATTTGAATTAGGACAATATGAGACAATAGAAACAAAGAGTTACAGACATCTGGGTACATTTTTCTGGGCAACATGAGCCCAAAATAGGACTCACGATAACAACAAAGGATTAACCCTTAAGAGCAACAGCCTGTTGCATATTCATACACTTCATGATGCATAAATTCCATTCAAACACAGGATACTGTCTGGTCAGTGCCACCTTCTTCCTCTGAATCCTAATGGCACCTTCGAGGCGGGAAGAAGCTCATTTCTTCTGATAACAGGGCAATAAATTCTTTTTCTCTCAAAGATTCACGTGTCCTGTGGCTACTATCTCAATGTGATAGGATCTTTTCTTTTTAAAAAGTATCCTATACAGCATAGTTTCTATTTCAACATTTTTTATAACCTAAAACTATTTAACACACTACTTAAGAGAATTAATACAGCATTACTTTTTAACACAACACATATAATATTCATTTGAATATTTGCGAAAAGCCAGTCATAAAATACATGCATTTTTCATACCCTTAAACCGCAGGAACAGCTGCTGGGGCTGAAGGGAATAAATAAATACCAAAGGCGCTCCGGCACCTTCGGCCTCCGTTCCCTGCCTGCCCCTAAGCGCGCCCAGCCCGGCGCGGGCAGGGGGCGGTGCTGCCGCCTTGTGGGCAGAGCGCGGCATTACGGGCAGAGGGGAGCGGTGAGGCGGGTTAGGAGGGCAAAGGGGCGCGGCCGGGCTTGAGGGGCCGCCGTGCGAGGCGGTGGCTGGGAACAGTGACAGCAGCGGGGCCCGCGGAGCCACGGTCGGGACAGAGCTGCCATTTAAAGATGGCGAAGCGCCCGCGTACCAGGACCCTGCATGAGCCGGGCCGGGCTCCAGCCACACACAAGATGGCGGCCGCGACAGGACTCCGGCAGAGACGTCGCCGCCGCTCCCTGCCGCGGCTTGCGGGGCTCCGGTGCCGCTGGCCCTGCCAAACGTTTTGTCCCGTTGGGAAAGGCGGTGGAAAATCGCGCTGAGAGCCCGGCATCGGTGTCGAGGCCGGGTTGAGACAAACGACCCAAACTGGACAAACGCCTGTGTGAGGAGCGCGGGATGCTAAAGGCACCACAACAAAGATGGCGGCTCGGCCGGGGGTGGCTTCTGCCAGTACCAAAGGGGAAATCCGGGAGAAATGGCTGCTGGCTCCTGGCATCCTGGGCTTGCCGAGCAGGTTTTGTACTTGATTGCAAGGCAGTTTTTCCGCCTCTGCAGGGGGTGGAAACTGGAAAGGGGAGAGGAAAAAAGTCACTTTTACGCCACACCCAGTTGGTGTGAGCATACGCAATCGGCGTAGCTCTGCGCAATCGGCACAGCTCTGTTCAGTCGGTGCGAGTATGCGCAGTCGCCGTAGCCGTGCGCATTCGGCGTAGCCCTGAGCAGTCGGTGTGAGTATGCGCAATCGGCGTATCTCTGCGCATTCGGCGTAGCCCTGCGCAGTCGCCGTAGCCGTGCGCATTCGGCGTAGCCGTGCGCAGTCGGTGTGAGTATGCGCAGTCACCGTGAGATACGTGAAATGAGTACAAAACCGAAAAAACCCTTAAAGAAACCTAAATGAATTTTAAAACTAAAGTAAATAAATAAAAAAATAAAATAAAATAAAATTTAAAGAAAACCAAAACACCAGGAAGGACATTTGAGCCACCCAGCAACCTCAGATGTCCCTCCCTCCCCAGGGCCTGGGGGAAGGAGCAGCAAGGAGCCCACACAGCAGGAGTGGGGCAGTGAGAGCAGCACAGCCAAAGCTCTCAGTGCTGATGGGGGCAGCTAAGCCAATTGTTACTTTTTTGGACACCTTATCTGCCTACTCTGCCCAGGACATGGCCCAGCAACAGGCAAGCTGGCATCAACCCTGCTTGCTCTGGAGCTGAACCCATCTGAGTCATTCCCTGAGCTGCCCCAGGAGGAGCTCCAAAGCCAAACCTTACCTGTGTTGTCATCTCATTGCAGGGGTTCCATGCTGCTGTCTCCTTATCACAAGAGTTCCATACCTCCCTGGTGCTTCTTGTGGGCAGCTCCTCCAAGCACTGACTCTTTCTTCTTCCCTAAGCAGCCACCCCACTCTTTTAGAAGAAGAGAAGCCCTCTTCTTCTCACTGGTTACAACTGGAGCCTGGTAAAGTCAGGCCTGTTCCTAATCTTTGATAATTGGCCCAGCTGCAGCTCCTTAGGGGTGAGATTACTTTCTACGCTATCTTTATTTTCTTATATTCTATCCCCCCACATACCTACAGGCAGCGTTTAGGGTTTTCTCCTTCCTGAAAATTCTGAGATTTTCCCTGTGGGTGGTCACTGAACCTTGGCCATGCCCAACCCGCCCTTCCTGCCCTGCCCGTGGACAGAGGAGCTGGCAGCACACAGCTCCCCTCAGCCCATGGGGATCTCCAGAAACAGCTTTGTGCTGCCCATGCCCAGGGGCTGAGCCCTGCCTGGGGCTCACCCAGGGACCTCTCTCTGCAGAGACTTCCTGCCCTGCAGCAGATCAACACTCCCACCCAGCTTGGCATCGTCTGTGAACTGCCTGAGGTGCCCTTGAGCCTCCCCTCCACATCATTGACAAAGATGGGAATCACAACTGAGCCCTGGGGAACACCACTTGTGCCCAGGTGCCAGCTGGATTTAATTCCACTGAATTCCAGCACTCCCTGGGCCCAGCCATCCTGACAGTTTTTACCAGGGAAGAGTGCATTCAGTTCTTCAGTCTTTTCCACAACCTTTGTTCTGTGTATTCCCCCATGTCCAGGAGAAGACAGAGCTTCTCCTTAGACCTCCATTCATTGCTGATGTATTTACAGAAATATTTTCACTCTCTTTGCAATTTTCTAGGAAGAAATTCTTTACTGTGAGGCTGGTGGGGCAATGGGAACAGGTTACCCAGGCGAGCCAGATCTGAGTGAGATTGCAAAGGAGCAAAGTTTTGCCACTTGGGCACACTCCTCTTGGTTTCTTTGCTCAGGCCTTTGCTGAGCACAGAACTCATCTAGGGAGAAAACTTTTCACTAGACAGGATCTTCTGGGTCCATTGTACCCCAAACACGTCAATGTGTGGTGCCATCGTAATGACAAACTAAAAACAACAGCACAAATAACACAAAGAAAACATGGCAAAAGTGGATGAGGAGCAGCCCAGCGAGGAAAGGACGTGGTGAGACACTGGCACATTGAGTGAGCTGCATTCCCATAATCTTTAGGCTAGCAGGTCCTGCTCTCACATTCTCCTTTTGGTTTATTTAAATTAAATTTATTTATTTAATTTTTTTAAAAATCATCAAAATAAAATATATACAATTAAAAATATGTCGCCAACATTTAAAGATACAATCAAAACACATGTATTCAAAATTACATCTAAATATCAGAACATACAGAATAACTATGAACCCTAACACATAAATCTTATTTTTTAAATACTCTTTGGACAGGTGGCAGCTTCTTCCTGAGATCAGAGGAAAGAGAGCTCTTGGGGATGAGAGGCAAGTACTTGGGGTGAGGTAAGGGTAAGGGAACATAGGAGGTGTCCAGGGAAAACTTCTTGGAAAGACTGTGGCCAGTCAGATCTGCAAAGTGGAGACACAAAATGGATCAGAGCCTGCAATGCAAACCTAAAGCACCTGAAGGTCTGTATTTCATGGGACAGATTCCTTGGAAACTTCTAAACATCTGCACAGGGAAACATGCTCCTGCTCCTTGCAGGGGGCACACGCAGGGCACAAATGATCCCTGGTAATGTGCACAGCCTCTCTGGGCTGCCACAAGAGCCTTCCTCCCAAAGGAGAATGGCCCAGATCCAACCTCACCTCTGTGTGAGGCTCAGCCATGCTCACAAGACAAGAATTGAGTTAGGGGAACTCCCACCTTTTCATCAACACATCCAGTAGCTGAGACACTGAAGGGTTTTTTTTTAATTTTTGAGGCAATTTCTTTGGTTTTATTTTTCCTGGAACTAGGCTGTGTTTAATTCCTCTGAGCTGTATTGAGTTAGCAAGTCTGAAGGGAAAGATGGAAGGCTCCAATGGTAAGAGAGGAAAAAAGATTCCTTCTTGAGGCTGGCTGTGTGTGAATCTGCAGGAAAAACCCTCACAGCTGTGACTGCTAGCTCTGAAAACCACAGAGACCTCTCAGGCACCAGGCAGGCCTTATTGGTGTTTCTATGGCACCGTAATTCCATCCTCAGTGTTGGACCTGATCAGCAAGCAGAGGAAGAACGGGAAATTTATCTGTAGTGAGACTCAACATTGAAGGCAAAGAAAGCAACAGGGTTTGCATCTCATGACCATGTCCAGTTTGGGGTCATCTGAGGCCACAGTCCCTGTCCTGGCTGACAGAAGGAGTCACTGGCCACTGTCACAAAGGAAAAAGCAGCGAAAACTAATGAGACAATGTTGTGATGCCATGGGTGTCCTTGCAGGATCATCTGTAGCTGTCAGCCACCTACTCTGACACAGAGCCAGCACTGACCACCATGCACCAGTTTTCCCTGAAGTCTGGGGGGAATTTTTTCCATTTGGCTCCAGCATTTCCGCTCCTTTCTCTGTTCACCTTTCCCTTCCGTGGCCTTTCCTTTTCTGGTGAAATCCATCTTGGAACCTGTGCTCCTGCCAGGCTGAAGTGTCAGGGTGTGGATCTGGGCTGGCTCTCGGGGTTGGCAGCACCAGGAGCTCAGTCCCAGCCTTTGGACAAGGCCGGGTGACTCCAATGGCCGGCACTCGGCACACAGAGGCAGAGCCAGACATGGCTGCTGCTGCTGGGGCCGTGTCAGGCACACCCTGCACCAGCCCAGCCTGGGGCTGCCCCTTTGTGACACGCTCACCATGGTTCTCTCCTTTCCATGGTTGCAAAACCCCACCCCAACTCCATCCCTTCCATTCCCTTCCCAAGGGCAGCCAGCCCTAAGCCCAGCCAGGCCAGGCCTGAGGCTTTCACTCTCTCTGGGGTGTTGATCCTTTCCAAATCTTCTTTACAAGTCCTATATTTCTGTTATTCCAACTCAGTTCTGGATTGCAGCTCATTGTGTGGGATTTTGTTTCATTCTCTTCACATCAAACAAAATGCTGGGACACAAACAATGGCACCAGGAGTGGAAGTAAAAGCAGCTTTGCATTCCCCAGTAGATGACCCCAGAATTCAGTTGGGGTCATCTACTGGGTATTGCAAGGAGAGCTGTAAGGAACAAACTGACCATCCAAACATTCCTCTTTTGCTCTGCTTCATTGTTCCAAGGGTTTATTCCCTGCTTTCTTTATTGCAGAGACACCCCAACTCAACATAAACATGATCAGTGTTCAGTGGGCCAATATGATCAATGCAGCTGTAAGGTGTAAATTTGCCATGCAAAGTTCTCCTTTGTTCTGCAAGGGGTTTGTTTATTCCTGCTTTCTTTCCTGCAGACACACCCAAACCCAACATTACAACACCTACCTCAAAACAATTCTCATTTTGACTGTCCCTGAGAGTTCAAAACTATACTCAGAGCATTTCCCTGTCCCCAGGGACAGGCTCCAAGGCTGGGCTCTCTCCTGCAGGGAATGAAGAAGAGCTGCTGCACTTGCCAGTGGCTGTGGGCGATCAGAATCTCACTATCAGTGCTTGGAATGCAGCTTTTGTACACACTCTGCCCCCTGAGCCCAGCAGCATTCCAGGGCATCAGCTACCAGCACCTCATGCTATGGCAATGGCACCGCTCAGCCTGCCAGTCTGGGAGGGCTGGAGGGCGTTGGGTGCTCATTTGCTGTCAAAATTAAATAGTTTTGTTGTTGTCATTGTCATCATTGGAGCGTGTCTTTCATCCCTGGGCAGCAGGGGAGGCATGGCAGGGCCATCTTTTCTCTGTGCTTGGGTTGAGTTCGGGCAAAAGGCCCAGCAGCTGTAAATAAAGTTTGCAGCACTGATCTCTTAGGAACATCCACATTCCTGAACATCCAAATTCCAGCTCACCCCAGAACCTTGGGACCTCCATTCCATGACCCCATCTAACTGGGAGGCTGTCATTCCTGGGAGTGCAGAAGACCGAGGCAGTGAAAAGTAAAATCACATCCCAAAAATTCAATCAGTATAAAAAGAAATTTGAGTCTTCTGCATGCCAGGCACAGGATGAACACTAAAAAGCACTGGGATCTACTCTCCCAGCCCCAATATACCCAAAAGCCAAGGTAAGCTGTCAGCTCAAAGGGAGTCAAGGTAGATACACAAAAGCTACAGAGAAACAGAAGCAAGAGTAAGAATGGTCTGCCACAGCAGATTTTATTGCCACTGTTTGTAGGCTGGTAATTTTTGCACAGCCATGATCATTTCCACTGCAAAAGGTGGTTATGTCCCCAAATCCTTCTATCCCAGACAAAACAGGGCTGGGGTCACTGCCATGGAAAACATGATTCATCTCTAGAGTGAGCCAGAAGGCAATTCCCTGTCCAGAACTGTTTTCAAGGTGGAAAAGGATCATTTGTTCCTGAGTAATTGAAAAACAGAAACCTGTTGCTGAAATCAATTCCGTGGCCTTAATTGGTCACAGAGGCAGCCCTTAAACATAATTGTGTTAGACCAGAAAACAGTCTCCGCTTTTACCAGTAAATTATCAGTAAATAGATCAGAGCAGCTGTAGCACTGAGAGACAAAGTGAGGAGATGGACACCTGCTTTTCTGTGTCCTTTCTGTGACTTGCCAGGGGGCCACAGGTGGCACTGGAACCTTTCCAAAAGCAGCTGCTGGAGATGGAAGGCTAACAGTGTTCATCCCCTCATTGCACCTATTGTTTTATCCAGGGGGCAGGCAGAGGGTGAACTCAGTCTTTCTCACTCCTTAAGGGACAGGACACCCTGCAGAGGATGTGTTTTGTGTCACTGACAAATGATCCAAGGCACCTGGGAAGAAATCCCTTCTCACCTGCTTGTCTCTGGAACAGCAATGCACTTTGTACACAATGCTGTCTCTCGTGTTGCCCACACACACCCTGCTCTCACTCCTTCTACTTGTGCACAAAGCAAGAAACTGAACTATCCATATCAATTAATGGCAGTTAAATATTCCCACTCCTTATTCTCTGTTTGCATCACACAGGAAACGTGTAAAGCAGTGGGATCTCAGGATTTATAGGAGACATGCAGCTTATTGACATCCAGATGTTCAACTTTGCTCTTTTTTGCAGTGGCACTTTTCTGGCATTAACTCATTTCCTCTGAGCTACTGCTTAGAGAAAAGGAGCAAAGCAAAACAGCAATTGGGATCACAAATCATCCTGATCTCAAACTCCTTTGCCTTCCTTTGAAAGTTCAGAGAACTGAAAAGTCCCAGATCCTTGACAGGACAGGTCTGACACCTACAATGGAAAGCCAAACCATCACACCTATTTCCTTTACTGAAAATATGAATACAGAGATCAATGAAGACACTGGTTTTAGTAAAGGACAAGAAATGTGTTTAAAGCATGATTACAAGTAAACAAAATTGAATTAAAGGCTTAACATTAGACTGTACAAAACTTACCTCTAGACAGATGGAGCTTTCCCTTTATAGAATTGGAAAAGTCATGGTCTGTGTCTCCACCTGGGGGGAAAAGCACCATGACCAGGTCTTGGCGAAGTGAATGGGGAAACAAAAGCATACTGGCCCTTTGCAATAAATGGCAACAGGTAAAATTGACTTTGGATCTCTTTTAATGAAGATACAAAGGCAGTCTGACAAACAAAATGTACATCACTCATGAACACACAAAGGTTTAGAAAAATTCAACAACTCTGCTTTTCTAAATGAAGAAATTGCCCCCAAGTTTGTCCCGTGATCCCACTGATATCTGACCATGATTGGGGAAGATCAGCTTGTGTTAAGAGCCTTGCAGGCCTGGGTACTTCAGAAACTTCCTGGCATTTCAGGCACTGAGGAAACCAGCACCAATTCTGTGGGCCAGTCCCTCCCTGAGCCACAAGCTGCTGCCCATGAAGTGGAAAGCACTGTCATCACACACCAGGGCTGCTGCTGCTGGAAATGCAAACTCAGCTCAAGCCTGCAGGGAAGAGGCAACTGCTGCAGCTGGCAGACACAGTGGGTAGAAAGAAGAAATGGGGACTGCTCTGGATGGAAACTTTAAACTCTGGAAGGAAAATGTAACATTTTGATTTCAATTTAAAGCTTTCTATGAGCAGCCTACTCAGTAAGGCCATGGGCAGGGACAAATTCCACTAGATCAGGCTGCTCACAGCCCCATCCAACCTGGCCTTCAACATTTTCAGGGATGTGGCACCCACAGCTTTCCATCTGCAGCACAGCTGTGCCAGCTGTGCCAGCTGTGCATTCCTTGTGCTTCTGCAGCTTCCTGGCCAGCCTGGACCCTCCCTGGAACCTCCCTAAGCCCTTGCAAGCTGATACAAAAGGGATGCGGGGGAGGGAGTGCACCCATCTCCCATTTTCCCTGAGTGCACCCACCTCTCATTTTCCCTGAGTGCACCCACCTCTCATTTTCCCTGAGCAGAGGAATTGGATGACAAGTGTCCCAAGGCACCAAAGCACATTGCTCCTCACACAGACAGTGCTCGTGAAAGTTCAGATTGATTAAACCATGGGTCTGTGACCACTGGGACAACACACAGGGAAATTTCAGGTCAACAAGACATAATTTCTTATATTACGTCCATATTATAAGAAATGCTTTCTTGATTAAAGGAAAAGTGTATAATCTTGTTCAAAAGTAATTTTTCTTCCTCCACGTTGCTATTTCAGACTGTCTGGAGACAACTTGTTTAAACAAGTGAGAGCACTTTTTCTATCAAAAACATTAACTCTTGTCTGTTTCCCACTTGAAAATTACTTAAGGAAGGCAGGTTGGGTTTTTTCTTTTTTCCATTGCAATGGCAATAAAATACTGTCTATCTCCTAAAATATTAACATCCTGTCAAACCTTCAAACCTTCTGATCTTCAACTTCCTAGCAAGTCCACAGGGTGTCTACTTACCTTATGTAAATGCATTTCAGTCAGAAGGAGGGGACGTTTAATAAAGCATGGTATTCCTTACTGTATTATTCAGTCCCTAGAGACATTTAAAATAATTTTTTTTAAAAAAAGCAAATGCAGCTGGTGGAACTCTGGGATCTAAGACACCACACCTGTCTTTGAGAACATATCATACTTCAAGCAGCCTGCTTCCCATTGTGGTGCCAGAATCTCTGCTGGCCAAAAAACTCCCCACACCTTTCCCAGTCCTACAGATCACCTCCCCATTTCCCTCCTGCCTTCCCTGCCTCCAGGTGGGAGCACAAATTGTCCTTCTGGTACACAATTCCCCTGGGAAAAGCAGTGTTGCTCCAATTAAATTCAGGAATAAGTAGCCCTACTAGCAAATTCTTCTGTACAGCCCAAATGTAAGGAGCACTTCAACTGGAATGTGGTCATGATAAAATGAGTCCAGAAATAAAACACTGACTACATTAATTGCAATCTTGAAAGCACAGGAATGACAAAGGCTGTTTTTCCCTGCTGTTCTGAGGTTGCTGGTCTGGAAAATGCTGCTTCACTTTCCAGAAGGCAAGAGGCACTTGTTTTAGAGGACTGTGCAGTTTGTGGCACTTAACTCTTTGGTAAATCTGCATGGCAGCAGTGCACTGAGGATATGTAGGAAATCCAGGCATTGGGGGATTTGTGGCTCCTTTTTGCAGCTGCAAGTGCTGGTGCTGGGTTACCAAGGTGGGACGTGAAGGGTCACAGGCTCACCATCTCTGGGAAGCCCCAGGACACGTGGTGGCAGCAACAAATCCACATGAGGAAAGGAGATATTAGAATAATGGGTAAAGTCAAGGAAGAATTATCAGAGTGGCCATGTCCTTCTCATGTCCCTAGTAAGTAATGCACATGAAACACCTTCTAGAATAGCCAGAATTGCTGGAAAGGCACCAGAGTTGCAGTGAAATACAGCTGCTTACACTCAGATATCCAAGCTGAAGGAAAATATTGAAGAAGTGTTTTCCAGGTCTTCTTTTAAAACAGCATGAAGCATGGTGTAAAAAACATTTCCTGTACAGTAACATTAAAAAGAGGAACATTAAAAAGAGCATCTGCATCTTGCTTTAGCTCATGTTAAATTTCAGCACAGCTCATGGAAACCACCAACAGCTGCTCTACACAGCCCTGAGCGCAATGAAAAGGGGTTCACTGATGGTGGAAAACTGGAGACTGCTCCTAGCCCTGTGCCATCCCAAAAAAAGGTGTGGATTGGAAAATCTTGTTCCCCTAGAAGGAAACAGTTTTTAAAAAAACCACCAAGAGAGAGCTGTGCTGTTTGCCTGCTTATTTGAGACCTTCCGCATTTCCGAAGGAGAGAAATTCCAGAGCCGCCTGTTACGAGGAATTCTTCTCCTTGTACTTCTGGTAAGCATCCAGTATCTCCTTGACGACGCTTGGATCATCAAGAGTGGTGACATCTCCCATGTTGCTCGATTGCTCAGTCACTACTTTCCTCAGCAGCCTTCTCATGATCTTCCCAGATCGGGTTTTAGGGAGGCGCTTCACCACCTGCAAAGGAGGGAAGGATGAACCTTTATTGGAACTCGGGTTCTGCTGGAAACCACACACATGGAAATCTGGCTGGACTGTCCTAAGCCTGGCACATCCTATTTCATGGCCACAGCTCCTTTGAGGCTCCTGGGAAATGGATCATTGTGAAAAATGCATGTATTTTATGATTGGCTTTTCGCAGATATTAAAATGAACATTATATGTGTTGTGTTAGAAAGTAATGCTGTATTAATTCTCTTAGGTACTGTGTTAAATATAGTTTTAGGTTATAAAAATGGTTAAAATAGAAACGGTGCTGTGTAGGATACTTTTTTAAAAGAAAGGACTGGCAGTGAGATAGCAGCCACAGGACACGTGAATCTTTCAGAGAAAAAGAATTTAGTGCCCTCTTATCAGAAGAAATTAACTTCTTCCTGCCTTGAAGGCGCTGTCAGGATTCAGAGGAAGAAGCTAACACTGACCAGACAGAATCCTGTGTTTGAATGGAATTTATGCATCATGTATGAGGCGTATGAATATGCAACAGGCTGCTGCTTTTATGGGTTAATCCTTTGTTAACTGTGTCCTTTTTCGGGCTTGTGCTGCCCAGAAAAAGGTACCCGGAATGTCCCTAACTCTTTGTATTTATTGTCACATATTGTCCTAATTCAATTTGTCCAAATTATTATTACTCTAATTATATTACTATTTGCATAACCATTTTATTACTATTAAACTCCTAAAATTTTAAAAACAAGTGACTGGCATTTTTCGCAATCATGGAGCACACAAGATTACATCTAAGGAAAGAAGTGTCACATACATTTTATTGTTATTTTAAGTAGATTTTGCTCCCCATTGCCACGTACAGACTGAATGCTGCAGGATGCACAGCTCCTTTAGGAATCAGGTCCTGAACATGCTGTTAACTATTAAAATCTAATCACACGTGAAAACTTAGGCACAAATGGTGACACAAATCAACACAACCAGAACAGACAGGAAAAAAAATATATATATATATATTCAGCTTCACAGAGCAGGAATATAAAGCAACACAATTCTGCACATCAGCTGCAGGGTCTCCTGCTCCAGGGATATCCCCTGCACCTGCCCTCTCCTTCCCTGGATCCCTCCTGCCAGTTTTCTGTTTTCCTGCCTCTTTATCCTGCAGGCAGGACCCTGAGGTCTGTGTGATGTGACCATTCCCTGCTGCTGGCACCAGTTTCAGTCTCCCACTTACCAGGATGTGGTCAGGCACTGCATACTTTGCTATCTTGGAAGCCACTATGGTTTTGAGCTCTTCTTTGATGTGGTCTACATGAGCTGTCTGCTCCTTTAGCACTATGAAAGCAAAGGCACCTGGAAGACAAATGAGCAAAAGCCACAAACATCACATTAGATACTGTCTGGAAAAACCAAGGATGCTCATTTGAATGCCAAACAAGGTTTCAGATCATTCCTATGCACAATCTAGGGACTGACAAGAAAACTATTGATCTTTTTTACAAAGGCAAGTCAGACTGCAGCCCTCAAATGATGGCCCAACCTTTTCCTGGCACCTGTGACTGATGCCAGTGACAACGACAAGTCAGCATAAATGACCAAAGTGTTATTGGGATCAGAGGTTGGCCAATGTAAATCAGCCATTCCCATTCTGTTCAGAGCACACTTCTAAGCACAATCCTATTAAAGGAAGCTCAACCATATACACGAACACTGTGTATTGAAAACAGTTTAGGGAGTAACAGCCAGGTTAGGAACACATAGCTATTTTCCTGGCTGTCTTTGTCTCTTGGGGCTGCAGTGCCAGTCAGCCTAAGGATATCTGCCCTCCCATTCCCTCAGCAACTCCTAACAAGCAGCCTGGGTTAGAATTTAAGGGAAGTGTGTGCAGATGTCATGTCAGGACACTGCTTTTCACATACCTTCTCCTTTGATCTTGTGTGGATACCCAACCACAGCTGTCTCAGGGACCTCAGGGTGATCAGCCTTCACGAAAAGTCAAGCAAAAATACACAAATCAGAGCTGCTGAAAGTCCTACAGGAAAGCTGGATGCCAGTGTCCTGCTGCAGGGTCAGCTGGTGGCCGTGGCCTCAGCCACGTCTCAGGGAGTAACTCTGCACTGGCCCTGCTTTTATAAACAAAAAATAACTACCCACTGCACACCAAGCTGAATTTGCAACAGCTGGAAACCCTCTTTCTCTTTCTTTGTGCATGGCTGTGGTCCCACATGGCAACTGGCCACTGCCAAACCACAAGCAAAGCCAGTCGTGCAGTGCTCAGTGCTACAGAGAGCTGTGGCCAGCTGAGGTAAAAAGGGAACCTGCCAACATCACAGCCCACACTGGACTTATAAGTGCCCAAAACACACTAGAAGGCAGAAAGAATCAGATTTCTTCATTCCCTAACCCAAAATGCATTTTTGTTACTATGCTACACCTCAGTGATTACTTCTGTTGCACTGCAGAGTTTAATTCAACATTCTTCTGCACAGACCAGAAGAAACCATGCATTTGCATCCCACACCCAAGAATGGATTATGTTATCTTAAATTACCTTAAAATATGAAAGTAAACATCATAGAGTAATCTAGGCACACAAATATATTTTCTTTTACACATGCATACACATACATAGATTGTGAGAGGAACTGGAGCCTGTAGCTATGGTCAGAAACTTGCACAGACAAAATAATTACTTTTATAAAGGATAAAGTAGGATCCTGTATTCCATGCAAACACAGCTCAGGTTCATCAGATGTTACATTTAAGTGCCCATTTGCAAGCAAGGCACATAATATAGAAATAAATACACTGGTCAAGCTTTAAATATAAAACCTCTGAGGACTTTCTGTTTTCAATTCCCAGAGATAATATAATTTTCTCTCAAAATGGCAGGCTAGTTTAGCAGCTGACATAAATCAATGTTGCTTTGTGTCTAACATTGCCTAATTCTCAGGCATACTCAGCCAGTTCAGATAGGCAGGAACCACAGGTTTAGGGAGGAGAGGTCAGGTATAGTCACAGACACATTTTATGAAAAATGCTTTGGTTGGGATCTTTTCTCCTGAGAAGCCTCAGAAATTAAATGTAAACATTAATTATCTGCTGCTGTAGAATGCAACAGGTGCACCTTTGATTGGTCTCATGTGGATGTTTTTAATTAATGGCCAATCACAGTCCAGCTGTCTCAGACCGTGTGGTCAGTCACAAGATTTCATTATAATTCCATTCCTTTCTATTCCTTGCTAACCTTCTGATGAAGTCCTTTCTTCTATTCTTTTAGTATAGTCTTAATATATAATTTTCTTTTAATATAATATAGATCATAAAATAATAAATCAGCCTTCTGAAACACGGAGTCAAGATTCTCATCTCTTCCCTCATCCTGGGACCCTTGTGAACACCAAATACATTTTCTTTTACTCATGTAAGATATTAGCAGAGGGGAAGGAAGAAATAGGAGAGACATTTATGAAGTGCCCACCATCTAACTGCATCCCTGAGAGGTAACACAGCTCTGAGGGCTCAGTTGCAGGCACTGCCCACAGCGTGGCTCCCCTCACTTGCTCATTTGCTGTCTCCTCAATAAGGGAGCTGTCCCCTCTTGCACCTTTGCTGTTCATTGTGCATCAAGCCGTGCCTATGCAGGGACAGGGGTTTGAAAGCTGCTTTGAAAGGGTCACCCCACCCCACAGAATATGCCCTGCCAGGGCACCCCCACCTGCTTGGAACTTCTTACCATTGCATCTTCAATTTCTGCCGTGCCCAGCCTGTGCCCACTGATGTTAATGACATCGTCCATGCGCCCTGTGATCTGGTAGTAGCCTTCGTGGCTCCTGTAAGCACCATCCCCTGTGAAGTAGTAACCTGCAGAAAGACACAGGGCAGGTCAGCAAGTGTTCCAGTGTGCTGGAATCCAGGACATCCCTCTGCTTGCCCTGGAGGGCTCCAGCCCCTGCCAGGAGGCTCAGAGACCATGAAAATTTAAGTGGAATGATAGCTAGTTTGTCACATGGTGAAAAGTAGAATTTTGGGGTTTTTATAGAATGGGGGCTTGGAGTGTCCCAAAATGGAAGAATCTGGGGGTGCCTTGTCCTTTTTTCTCCTTCTTCCTAGCCTCCATCTTCTGGGTGATGGTGGCACCTGAATAGCACCAAGATGGTGAAGCTCAGGTGTGGTGGTGTTCAGAGGGGTCCCAGGATGAGGGGAGAGATGAGAGTCTTGACTCCATGTTTCAGAAGGCTGATTTATTATTTTATTATATATATTATATATAATATTATATATATTATATATATTAAAACTATACTAAAAGAATAGAAGAAAGGATTTCATCAGAAGGCTGGCAAGGAAAGAAGTGGAATGATAACAAAAGCTCCTGACTCTCAGAGAGTCTGAGACAGCTGGACTGTAATTGGCCATTAATTAAAAACAACCACATGAACTAACCAAAGATGCACCTGTTGCATTCCACAGCAGCAGATAATCATTGTTTACATTTCGTTTCTGAGGCTTCTCAGCTTCTCAGGAGAAAAGATCCCAACAAAAGGATTTTTCATAAAATGTGTCTGTGACACTCAGGTCTCTGCCAAGATGGACAAATCACTGCAGGCAATCAGCAGCAACCAGGGGCTGATGTTCCTGATGTAAAACCAAGCCCAGCCACACAACCCACCATGCTCAACTGGATTTACAGACCCAAGAGGGCTCTCTGATCTCTCTAAGAGATCATGCCAACATCTGCACAGCAGCTGTGTGCTCACACCTCTTGGTGCACACAGTGCTAAGGCAAAACCACTTCAGATGCCATTTGCCATCGTGCCACAGGCTACTGGTCAAGCTCAGAAGTGCTGCTGGCAGCACCCAGTGGAAAACTCCAGCTGTTCAGCTGAAAGGGAGCAGCTCTATTACATTTTGTACATGGGAACACTGCCAGGTTTTTTTTAATCACTTACACCAGGATGGATGAAAAGCCATTTTCCCTCCCGGCTAACAAAGATCCAGATCCCAGATAACAGTCACTCTCTAGCAGGTGAGTGTGGGAGAAACACTGCTAATCAGATCAGCTAAAAACTCCAAACCAGCCCATGATAAGCATGGAGGGTCTAAACCATTTGATGGAAACTGGAAAAGGCCCAAAGGTTTCCTGGAAACTCCAATGTCACTGAGGAACATCCTGTGACACAGATTGTGTTGGCTCTTCACCAAGCCCATGTTTAGATCTGGATTGTTCCAGTGGCACATCTGAGAAGCAGCAGGCAGCTACTGCTGTGAAATCTAAGGGTGGTTCTTGCCAGGACCCGTTATTGCCCTATTCATGGACTTCCAGTCATGTTTTCTGCCTTTCCAGATCAATTAAACAACTACCAACTAAACACCAACAAGACATAAATGCAAATGTAGAGAGTAATAAGAGACTATGGGGTCACTCAATTTCTTGTACCAGTTTCCCATTCTTTATATCCAGCCCATTTTGTATTTTGTACAATTTTCAGGATTGCCTGTCTAATTCTTGCCACCCTGTAGCTTTCAAATCCCTTTGAATTTCTTCTCCTGAGTGAAGACAGTGGTCTTGTCCAATGTCCTACAAAAAATGTTTCCCTGCCACTTCTAGTTACTTACCAGACAACTTGACCATATTTTTAAAAGGAAGGTTGTATCACAGGGTTAAGATTCAGTGATGCATGAGGTATTTTTCATCCAATATGCCTTTTTCCAAGTGAGATACAAAGCTCCAGATAAAAGATACTTGGACTTTAAAGCCTGGGCATTAAAGTTTTCTAGAAAATACATCCATTTTGACAGCTAGAAAGGTCAACACTACCTAAAACCATCAGGGCCTGCTTGCAACCTGTGACACACACCCCAAGCCACTATGGCACTGAAATATTCAGTATTCATGCTGAATATTCAATATTCAACAATTTCATGCTGAAAATATTCAGTGTCCTTATTAGTGCAGTGAAACTGCCTTCCCTTGGCCCTTTCCTTACCTGGGTAGGCTTTGAAATAGGCATCAATGAAGCGCTGGTGATCTCCATGGATTGTTCTGGCCATGCCAGGCCATGGCTGGGCAATGCAGAGGGCACCAGACACATCATTGCCCTCTATCACCTCTCCCTGCAGGTTCAAGCACAGCAAGGATGACACAGGTGAGCAAAAGAGGAATAATAAAGAGCTTCTGTTTGTCATTGATCCACTGCAGACTACCAGGGGAGGGTCACAAGAGGAGAAAATAAATGCCAACAACTCTTGTAGACACTTGCAATGCTCTGTTGAGAAATCTGTATGGACAACTGAGATATGCTCTCTCTCTATATATATAAATATAAATATATGAAATTATAAATTGTAAACATAAATATATAAATATAAAATTAAGAAATTATGTAAATATAAAAGGATTGAATATATAAATATATAATTATAAAATTATATAAATATAGAAATGTAGCAATATAAAGTGTATAAATATATAAGCATATAGATATATAAAGTTATATTTATATAAATTGATCATCTATTCCACCGTTTTTAAGGAGAAACAAGCCTCTTTCTGTATCTTGCTCCTTTGCCATCCAAAAGGTGATTAAAGCAGAAAACACACACCAGCTTCTCATTTGGGCACCCAGCACAGCTCCAACTCACATTCTCATCCATGAGCACAGGCACAATCCCAAAGAAAGGTCTCATAGCCATGGCTGGAACGATCTCAGCTTCCTCCTCTGAGGGCCGTGGGGCAATGCAGATGCCACCAGTTTCTGGCAGAAAAATTAAAAACAAAATATATGTAGTCCATCCGCTGCTGGGTGAAAGCAAATTCCAGCTCTTCTCAGGTCAAGAAGAGTGAAGGCACCTTGCAAGAAAGAGCCCCTGGGAATGGTTTCTGCAGGACCCAGAAGCGCAGGCCTGGCATGGGCAGCACTCAGCAGCCCCAACTTCCACCCAGAAGTGATTTTACAGGGAAAGCAGCAGCATGTCAGGGGATTTATCTCCCTCTAGTGTTTCCACAGCTGACTAAGGTTAGCAGGAAAAACACTTCAGGAGTGTGAATTACTGTTATTACAGAGCATGAGATTAACCCGCCCCTTACAGGCAGGTTGAGCTTATTTTCTAGTCAAAATTGAACCTTTTAATCATCCTTTTTCATTCCTGCTGGGATGAACATTAAATCAGACTCCAGCCTCAATGAGGTCTTTTCTATTCTAAATCTAATTCAGAAACACAAGAGAGAAACAAAAACAAAGGAGAGTAAGGCTTTTAAAAATACAGCTCTATAAATAAAGGTATGTTCTGCCACATGGAGAGTGCATTCCTCTACCAGCTTTGCTGAGCTTGTGAAAATTGAAACCAGGGGTTGGAATGGCTGATTTCGACCCTGAATTGGCATCCAGCTCTCAAGAAGGGTCTCTGATGTCCTTAAGCTTTAGATCTCTAGAAAATGTTTTCACATGTGGCTCACACATAGAAGCGTTTCCCATGTCATCGATGGGCATGCATTCACTTCATGTTTTCTGTAACTTTTGAAGAGAGGAGCTTGGATTGTTCCAGGAAGAAGCCCCTGCTGACCTCTGTTTGCATCAGAACAGGGACCCTGAGTGAGCTGAGGGTTGCTCTTGCTCACTTGCAGCCACTCCTCATCCTCCACGCAGCACCGAGAGCTGTTCCAGCACGGTGTTTGCCACATCCCAGCCACACGCCAGCCAGCAAAGCCTCACTCCTGAGGGAGCTGCATGGGAGCAAGGCTGCCTTAAAAATTATTTGCATGGTGAAGACCTGTTGTAAATTGGTTTAGAAGTACCAGTTTTAGCCACTGACAGATGACATCAAGCAAAACTGCTAGGCTCTGCCCTGCCCTTATGAAGCCTTTCTGTTCAGAGGCAGGGCTGGCAGGGAAAAGCTGTGCTTCCACACTGTCAGCAGGGTACAAACCCACCCTTCCATGGGGTATCCAGAGGTGTCTTTCAAAACCAGCTTCTCTTCTGTCGGGACCCAGGAATTCCTCTGGGTGACTCAAGACCCTGGCAAGGGGCTCAGAGACCTTGGCACAGAGTCAAAGACAACTGTGCCTTCAATTTTAGCCCATGGAAAAAATTACCAACTTTGTGTGAAGAGTTACAAGCCACAAGAGTTTGAGTAGAATGATAGTTAACTCGTCACAGGGTGAAAAAGTAGAATTTTGGGGTTTTAGAATGGGGGTTCAAGAGGAAAGATGGAGGAATCTGGGCATGTCCTGTCCTTCTTCTTCTTCTTGCCCTCCATCTTCTGCTGTGATGGTGACTGGATTGGTTTAGAGTAGAGACAGACTGTCTAACATAGGTGATAGGTATTGGAAAATTATTGTAAATAAAGTGCACTTAGTTCTTAGTATAAAAACCTAACACCAGCCCAAGGGCAGGCAGTGTGCCACAACCCAACCTGCTGGACAGACCTCAGTGGGTCAGAGAAAGAATGGAATAGATAAGAAAAAATAAACAACCTTGAAAGGCAAAACCAACAAAACCAACAATTTTGACTTTTTTTTCGGTCATGGGGCTGGGAAAGAAAAGACTTTATAAAACCTCAGGGGTCCCACCTCAGCCACAGAAAGCTGAGACTCCTCAAGGCTGCTTATTTTGGTGAAATCAATGACAAAAGTGGAAATACCTAGTGACTCTTCTGCATCACGAAGAACTACACCTAAACCTCAAACACAGCTTTGGTTCTACTCCTGTCAGTCACAACCTGGTATCTGAACAGCAAGATCCATAGGAACTTTTCATCTGCACTCACCCCACTATTAAAATTGCTTCTCATGGTTGCTCTCTCACTCATTTGCCTCATCCAAAGGCTTTAAAGTGGATTCTTCAATCACCATTTGCTGATGCCTGCCAGGCTTTATTAGCTGGCAACAGGTTGGTGCTTTGGAGGGCAGTGTCCCGTGGAGGACACAGCAGCACAATTAACCAGCAATTCTGGAGCTGCATAGGAAAGGTGACACTGCAGGACCACAGCCAGCATCCATCACATTGCTCCTCTGATTGCTTCCCACGCTCCTTTTATGTTTAAATGGCATATATAATCTTTCCAGGATTAAATTGGCTTCCTCTTTACTAAAGCATCAACTGTAGAAAAAGATTGATTCCACTTTCTAATAAAATCAATGTCATGAATATTTATCATGAATTATACTTCCAGGAGCTGGTAACTGTTTACCTACAAAACTGTGCCTGGCTCAAGGCAAGGTCAAGTACTTTGCACTAACAGACTGTGCAGTGGGTGTTTTTTAACCCCTCACCTGACAAAATCCCAGAAGAGATACAGTTTAATACAAGATATAACACTGTACTTTGGAGGAAATAGATAACACAACATGAACACTGCATGCACCAGCTAAACAAACCAAAAAGTGTTAGGGCAAAACTGGATTTTTCTCAATTCCATCAGTGTGCAGTAACCAACTGCTTCTCCATGGTGTTTTCCTTCTGAGAAGTGAGGAAGAAAGCAAATGATGAGCAAAGACCCAGCCAGTCATCTTCCCTTCTGCTCAGCATGTAGGAACCCAAAAGATTTAAGAAATCACTAGGTGAAGTAGATAGCAGTTAACATTGCTGCTCTGAATTCTGAGGTGGTTTTATTTCAATTCTGAAAATTAAAAAAAAAAAAAAAAAGAGGCTGCAAGTCTGGTCTGGATTAAATGGAACTTGGTTGTGTGCCAGAAAAAAATTTATCACACTGAGATAGAGAGCCTGCTAGCAGGAATAAGGACAGGAGCAGCTTGACTGGAAAGGGAATGAATGTGCTGCTCAATGGTAGTTCAAGACTATTTCTCAGCAGAGGCAGAATGCCAGCAGCTGTGCTCCTGTCTCCATGGCAAACTGGATCTCATGACTTGAGAAGGACATATTGCAAGACACCTCTAGCAACTCCTGAGTGCTGGTGCCCAGAAAAGAGAGGACTGGGTGCTGGGGAAGGAGCTGCAGGATTTCTTCAAGCAGAGGGTCCCACAGGCAGTGCAGCCCCACTCTGGGCACAGCACGTGGCCTGGAGGAAGAGGCCAGCTCTACTCCAGCTGGACTGGAGACAGCACCCACTGTGTCCAGCAGCTTGCACACAGCAAAAAATCCTCAATTGCTGCACTCAGCTGGGCCAAGCATGCTGCCAATACACAGGTGCATCCTTTCTGAGGCATCAGAGCTCCAGGGCCAATGCAGCTACAGAGCATCAATTCAATCATGGGACAAGGTGCTCTTCAGCAGCCCTGCTGGGGGATGGCCACTGTCCTCCAGGCTCCTGGTGGGCAGCCAGCAAGTCTCCACTCACTCCTTTCCAATCTGCACCAGCAGTTGCATCAGGTCCCTTTGAGCACACAGCTGTTTTCCATCCTGCCCTGATCATTCCCAGAAAGGAGAACGAAGCACACCTAAGTATAAAATTGTGGCCATGTGGTGCTTTCAGTGCTTTTGCATGATAACACCATAACAAGGTTAGTACAGCTAATAAACTGAACATGAGTTTTGCAATTCAAGTTAACTATCACCAGCTTTGCCCAGAAATTCAATTTCTGCCTCATCATTCTAGCAGCAATCGGCATTTTCCAACACTCAAAATATCAAAGAACATTTAGAGGAAAACAAAAAACCCAACACTGCTATTGCTTTTGTAAAACACATTCTGCACATAAATTGCTGTTACTCCCCAGTGACTCTCCAAAGCTTACCCAAATGCCAGGAGGGGTTTTTTGACAGACTTGTTGGATCAAACTGAAATGTGTTGATCCCTCTCTCCCCAGCAGCAGCCTGTCAATGGTCAGGGCCCCCTGTGCCCCCTCTTACCTGTCTGCCACCACGTGTCCACGAGGGTACAGCGCCCTTCTCCCACCACCTGGTAGAACCACTGCCAAGCTTCCTTGTTGATGGGCTCTCCCACTAGAGCAAAACAAGAAAGAAATCAACCTGAGACCCAGGAGACTGCAGGCAGTTCATTCTCCGTCTTGGTGCACCACAGGCTGAACACAAGATCTCCAAGCAGAATGCTCACCACACTTTTCCTGGCATGCACCAAGGACTGCGATGCACTCATGTAAATGAGGATTGACTTTTTCCAGAAGGACCAAAAGGCAAGAAATTAATATCACTGAAAGTAACTAATCAATGCAGGTCATGTAATAAGAACCGCCAGAACAGAAAATAATGTAGGAAAATGCTGCTTGGGTCACCTATGCCAGTAAAATTCAAAGTGATGCCCTTTAACATTAGATAAATCTTTTTAGCCAAGAATGTGACCCTGCAAAATAATCCAGGAAACAGGCAATCATACAAAAGTCCAATGGACCCAAAATGTGATTCTTCTGCTGAGAAAATATTTGAAAAGCAGACACAGAGCCTGCTTTATCATCTTTTTTCTAACCACATTTCATGTGATCAGCTGAGCTCCTCTGGCATCTTCATTTCACCAGCTAGAACCCTTTGTCTTTTTCAGATGAAGATTTCATGTCCCTTACCTGAACCCAAAACCCTCAAGGAAGATCTGTCATATTTCTTCACCCACTCTTCTCCATAATTCAGCAGCAGGCGTATCGCCGTAGGTGCGCCGTAGAACTGATTAATCTTCAACCTTTGCACCACTTCCCAGTAACGACCTGCAAATCACAAAGTGCCTTTTTCCCTTTCCAGCACTGATATACTGCTGCAAACGCTCAGCTGAAAGGTTAACAGCCAAAGCTTGGAGCTGTTACTACTGTGAGTACACAGCAGAAGCAATGACAGCTTCTTTTCCCTACCCTGGATTCACAGAGGTTCCTGAGTGTTGTACACACGTGATCCAAAGCAATGGAGCTTACCTCTCCTGGGCAGGCAGGTCACTCTGGACAGGTCTTTAAACCTCTTTTACCACATCCAGCCAAACCTTTTCCCACCATTTCCTCACCTGGGTCAGGGTACACGGGGGTGCTTTCAAACAGGACAGAGGTGGCTCCATTGCAGAGTGGTCCATACACAACATAGCTGTGTCCTGTGATCCAGCCAATGTCGGCCACACAGCCAAACACATCGCCTTGCTGGTAGTCAAACACATACTGCAAAGATAAATGTAAGGCCAGCTGATTGCCTGGTGCAGGTGCTGGGCTGGGCATCCAGCTGGGAGCAGGAGAGTGCACGGGGCAAGTGGAGCCACAGGCACACAAAGAGCAGCCTGAGGTGAGGAAGGGAATCAGAGGCACCAGGGCTCCCAGGCTCCTGGCACGTTTGCAAACACACAGAGGAAGCACAGCTGTACCAGCAGCTGCTCAATAACGCTCCAACCAAAGCTCAGAGCCTTGGGTACCTAAGGATGCCTGCTCCAGGCTCTCCACACAGTAGAGCTGATTCCAAGTTGCAGGGAAACTGCAGACCACAGTCTCAGACCCATCACCAATATCAACAGATTTCCATCTGGAGAGATCTGGATCACCTACCTGGAGATAGGTGCCCATAAGACATTTACTGAGAAATATTCTTAGCTGCTCAGCTTCTCTATATGAGAGCATCACTTTCCAGACACTTCCCTTTCCTTGCTCATCAAATTCAAGATAAAGATCTTGGGAACTCATTATCTTCTCTTGGATATGGCAAATGCTTCCCACTGTAAATGTAACTCCTCTACCATATGGTGAAGAGGTCCTGACTCATACAGAGTCAGGTTTATGGATCAGAACTAAAACAAAAATCCGTGAGTGTGTGACAAGAGTGTCACATGTGAGTGCAAAGACCACAGAGATCACATAGGTCAACTGATCTCTCTATCTAGAAAAGACAATTCTCACCTTACTTTTCCATGTGCCTTTCCCTCTCATGCACTCTGCAGGTGGAGAAAATGCACCAAGGTGCAGATCTACCTTCTGGACTAAGGAAGAGATGCTTTGGTGTTTATGCTGTCACTTAGGAAAGCTGATGTAAAAAAAATGCCCTTCATGACGCTTGAACATTCAAATCTTCTAAAAATTCAATCATGTCAGCCTGAAGAAAGAAAACCTTCACATGAATTGTGTGTGATTACAAACAGAGTGATACCACTAAAACCAGATGGGGATCTTTCACCAGAGTCCTCTCCTCATCTCACTGTTACCTTTTAATAGGCAGACCTCAGAGCAGAAGCTTCAAGAAGCAGTGCCTTGACTCTTTCCATTTTCATGAGAAAGGAGGTTAAAACATTTTCCCTAGATCACCCAGAAAAGCAGAACAGAAGTGCAACCACAAGAGGAGAAATACAACTTTTGTTCTTCAGACAAGTACTATGTGAAGAGGCTGGTTTAAGAGTCCAGATCCTCTCTGAAATCAAAAAGTGCAGCATCCCAATGCAAAATACTACAATAATATCCACATTACCACTGCCAGTAAGATTCTTTCCAGAATCTCCTCAGCTGCAAATTTTGGGCAGCCAACATTGGCACATTTTAAATGCAAGAGCAGCGCTGCCACTTCCTTGCTTTCATAATTCTATGTTCAGGTTTGCATAGTATCATATTGCTCAGAACAAATCCTGGAGATTAATTACACAGCTCAGATGCTTTCCAGCTTGTTTACAGCCAATAAACCAACAGGGCAGCAACCAGAGAATGCAGCACTCCTCCCTTGTCAGCACTGATAAAAGGCAAGTGAACCTTTGTCAGAGGGGGCAGCTGAGTTACCTTGTGTGTGAGAGCAGCATACAGCAGGTACCCAGCCTGGGTGTGGACAATTCCTTTGGGTTTCCCAGTGCTGCCTGAGGTGTACAGCATGAAGAGCACATCTTCACTGTCCATGGGCTCTGGAGGGCAGACAGAATCTGCCTTGCTCATCTCCTGAGAAAGAAAATGTGGTAATAATGGAAAGACTGGTTATATGGAGCCAAGCACCACTCCCTCTGTAAGCAAGGCCACAGCATCCAGAGACAAGAGCCACCACAGCTGCTGCCCCTCACAAATGTCCATGGATATATCACAGCTTAAATGGGCTCACCTGGTGGAAAGGTTCCTAGCACAGCATCTAACATTTCCACCAGCACCTCTGCTGGGCAGAGAAGTCAAGGAGAACTGGCCAGATAAAATAACATTTCAGGGGGAAAAATGGTAAGTCATAGCTTCTTACATTTCAAGCCTTTGCAAGCTGCTGGTAGAAATCCAAAATGTGACTGCAAACACTTGACAGCAGCAGCAAGGCTGGCTGGGTATTGTTTTCCTTTTCCTGTAAAATCTGCAGTGCTGCAGTTAAACTGTGTGTTCACCTCCCTTCCCTGGCCCCAGCAGTGATGACTGTCCTGTATATCCTCAAATTCTGATTTTCTACCCAGAAGAAGAGTGCTTTACTCTCCTGCCTCCATCACTCTCTTCACACTCCCCTGTTTGGCCAGCTGGGTGAGATCCTCTCCTCACCCCCACAGGAGGGAAGGATGCAATGCCCTGCTGGGTCAGAGCCTCTCTCGAGCTCTCTCCTGTCCTGATGAATAATTCCTGCCAGAATTATTAGGTGGCCCCTTGGAGGACTGCCTTTTTAAGAGAATACACTGTAAACACACTGTACTTACAAGTGAACATTACCATCAGCAGGTCCAGTTGTTTAAAAGTGTCTGACAAGCAAAGCTCAATAAAATAGGAAGAGTTCACAAAATGTACTTCTTAGCCCCTGAGTTACAGCATTGCTGCTCATCTCAGGTATTTCTCATGACATTTCAGCACTGCCAATTCAGGTTGACAGTTTTTGAAACAAAGATGGAATCCTCATATGCTCCATTACAACATGAGCTTAAATTTTGCAGTAAGCCATTGCACAAGAGCTGGAAAGTACAGCTGCTGTAAAGATCAGCAAGGACAGTTAACACCAATAACTGTTTCATTCTTGTTTTTTTTCTGATCCCAAAACTGACAATGGGATGAGCTCAGCTCTTGGATCACTAAAATACCTCAGGCTGTTTGCAGACCAAGGAAAACAATCAGAACGTCCTTTGTGGAGTAAGCAGTAAGACAATTTCTGAGTAAAGGTTGTCTTCTCTGTTTAACTTACTCTACTACTTCTTCCTATCTCATGTGACCAGCACAGAGACTCTTGAGCAATTATCTTGCCAGCAGATTAGCTTTTTCCAGGCATTATTAGCATGAGTAGTTCCTGTTTACTGCTGCCAGCAAACTGATAAAGCTACTTCTGCATTAGGCTGGGATCCCATGTGTGCCTGCTAAACACATAAAAACAACTGCTGTTCTCTCCCCCAGGAAGCACAGGCTCTAAATATTTCCAAGCCATCACTGTTCTACCACCATGGGACAGCCACAACACTGTTCATGGCTGGATGAAGCCTCTCCAGGAACTTCATTATTTCTGCACTGCCTTTCAGCAGGGTCCACTCTGAGTGCACATGCAATCCATAACACAGTGTCTGAACACAGTAAAATAACAACAGCCACGAGGGTCTCCATGGCTTCTGGGTCTCAGGAAACACTCCCTAAATCTCAGCACTGTTTGCAGGACTTGTGAAAGGGAGCAGCACAGCCCCTGCCCATGCTGAGATAAACCAGACATAGATTGAGCTGCTTGCACTTACAATCCTAGCAGGCTGTAAATACAGGCAGTCCATTTGAGGATGAAGATGCTGTAAGGAGCAGACCTCAGGTCCCAAAAGCACTTATGGAGAGAAAGATTATCCTGGCCAACACTCAGACCTGAAAGGAGTTATCCAACAAGAACATACCTCTTCAAGGGGAATATCACGGTCACCCATGTGGACTTTGTTATCTGTCCTCTGAGCCACAAACACATGTTTGATGCTTGGACAGTTCTTCACAGCTTCATCCACAGTTGCCTTCAGCTCTATGGTCCGGCCTCCCCTGACTCCTTGGTTGTATGTGATAACTGCTTTGCATCCAGCTAAAAAGAGAAAGAGTTAGCAGACGTGCCAGCCTGTCCTCCAGGCTCGTATGCACACCCAGCTTTCAATACTTTGGGGGTGATGTGTAGGACAACATGTGTGACAAACACTCAGAACTGCTGCCAGTCAAAAACCAGTCAGTGTCACTGATGAAAGCACTTTTAACACCTGAGACACACAGAGATGAAGGGTAGCTGGGACTTCCATAGGTTATCCAGTCCAAGGCAGGGTCTGCTTCAGCTAAACCACTCCTGACAGCTATCCCTTCCATCTTCCTAAACACTCCAGTGGCATCTACCCTTCCCTCTCCCCAGCAGTCCACTCCAAAGCCTATCATGAATGAGAGGAAAATGTCCACTCCAAAGCCTATCATGAATGAGAGGAAACCTTTCCCAACACCCAGCCTCAGTGTCACTCACTGCAGTTTAAACCATCCATCCCTGCCTTGCAAAGCTGGCATGCAGAGCAGCTTCTTCCCAGCTCCCTGTGCGAGGGATAACTAAAACATGCACTTGTTCTCTGCAGATCAACTCCACTGGAAAGAAGAAAAGAACATGACAATTTCTGTAAAACTTGTTCCCTCACACTGGCCACAAAGAAACTGGTGTGACTGCTAGGACATGAGCCACTGGCTATTTCCCTCTTCCCTGGCTATTTTTAGCATCACTTTTTACCTAATCACAATGTACAAGTACTTTGGGGCTGAGAACAGCTCAGTCTGCTGGTAGAAGGGCTCACAGAGCAGGGGCAGGCTGCCAACACTTCCAGTACTGTACATAAATCACAGGATCCCAGCTGAGAATGCAGAATTAGTTCTGTCCAAGAGTATCAAAGAAACACTGCAATTATACTGCAAAACAACAAATCAGGCCCTATCCCTAAGCTCTGCTTTTCCTTCCAGTTTCACTGCTGTCAAGCAATAACCCAGTGCACACTGAATGTTAAGCAATTTATTAAGTGCTTCAAGGCCAGAGGACACTGCACGTGTCACTCAGGACAAGGCTCCTCACTGCACTCTGCAGGGAAGAGAGAGCTGCCCTGCCAGGCGAGAATGAACCAAGGAAACTCTTCCTGCCAAGAAAACACAGGGCTGGGACATGCCTTGGAGCTCTGAAACAGAGGTGTTTGTTCCCCAGGCTGCATCTACTCACAGTCCATGATCCTGCCAGCCAAGGACTCGGCGCTGAATCCAGCGAAGACCACGGTGTGAACGGCACCGATCCTGGCACAGGCCAGCATGGCAGCCACCGACAGCGGGGACACAGACATGTAGATGGCCACCCTGTCCCCTTTCTGGATCCCATACTTCTTCAGCGTGTTGGCAAGGCGGCAAGTCAGATCCTGGAGTTCCCTGTGGCACAGAAGGAACATTGTCATGTGGCTGCACAACCTGATTGACACGGGGCTGAGCAAAGAAAAGATGGACTTGGGCAAAGTGAGGCTTCATGGTCACCTCTGCACCTCACCTCAGCAGTGCAGGGCATCTTAAAAAAAGGGCAGAGTGGTGCTTGCTGCAGAAGGACAGGAGAGAGAACTGCAGGCACTGTCCAGAGCTGCAGGGCTGTAATGGGACCACAGCAGGCAGCAAGCCAGGTGCTGTCATGCTGCCTCCCTGTGAAAAATGCATGTATTTTATGATTGGCTTTTTGCAAATATTAAAATGAATGTTATATGTGTTGTGTTAGAAAGTAATGCTGTATTAATTCTCTTAAGTACTGTGTTAAATATAGTTTTAGGTTATAAAGAATGTTTAAATAGAAATTATGCTATGTAAGATACTTTTTTTAAAGAAAGGACTGGAACTGAGGTAGCAGCCACAGGATACCTAAATCTTTCAGAGAAAGAGAATGTATTGCTCCATTATCAGAAGAAATGAACCTCTTCCCACCTCGAAGGTGCTGTCAGGATTCAGAGGAAGAAGCTGACACTGACCAGACAGAATCCTGTATTTGAATGGAATTTATGCATCATGTATGAGGTGTATGAATATGCAACAGGCTGTTGCTTTTAAGGGTTAATACTCTGTGCAGCTCGTGCTGCCCAGAAAAAGTACCCGGATGTCTGTAACTCTTTGTATTTATTATCTCATATTGTCCTAATTCAATTTGTCCAAATTGTTATTACTTTAATTGTATTACTATTTTTAATAACCATTTTATTACTATTAAACTTCTAAAATTTTAAAAACAAGTGATTGGCGTTTTTCACACTCCAGAAATCAGGGCTCATTTCAGTCACTCCTGATGCCTTTTTTACCCAATCAGAAGCCACTGGGAACACAAGTGGGATAAACACAAGATGGAATGGAAGTGTTGTCCAAAGATTTGCCACACTGTTGAAGTGGGGCAACAGCTGGGAGTGCTCCTCAAGCAGGAGCTGCTCTTTAAATTGCAAGGGTAAGCAACACGTTTGCATGCACGAGGAAAGAGAGGAGGACTCTGGAGGCACTTGTATGAGGGACAGATTGTACAAGATTCTCATCCAAGCTGGATCACCTGCAGCCCAAGAGCCTTGCAGAACACAGGTACTGCTGGCACTCCTGCACTGAGAAACTCGGGACTCTGCCATGACATGGTGACAATAGCAAAAATGTTCCTCTGAGGAACGAAAAAGCACTTTGTGGGCAAGGGCTTGCACATTCCCTGCACAGGGTATAAGACAATAAAATAAACCTGGGACCAGGATGCTGCCATGGAGCGAACAGCTCTGTGTGCCTGCAGTGGAAGGGCTTTGGGAACAAGGAATAAAGAGGTCTCATGCCAAGGGAGGAGGTGCTGGCAAGGGGCAGCAGAGCTCTCCTGCTGGTGCCAGTCATCAGCTCTGAGGAGCACACTGGCAGAGTCTGCCAGGAATTGTCCTTTGGGCTCAGGAACTCTCTGAGTACCAAGGCCCAGAGAAGAGAAACATCTTTACCCTCCAGCATGTTCATCAACCTGCCACCTGTGAACCCTTAGGGGTTCTATGCTACACCACCAGGGACCCCCATAACTTTTAACAAAGAAATTAATTTGGAGGAGGTTACATTCCCTAATAAGCTGTAAAGCATGAATTCTTATCGTAAGTATCCTCTTCTTCCATAACTAGCAATAGCTGCAAAAAACCCCAATTTTCACCAGGTGGCTAAGCTGTAAATAAAATGAAATGTTGTTTCTGGTCCATCAAAAAATATTTTGTTCCTTTTTTTAAACCTTTGCGAGTCATAAATAAAAGCTGAAAAACTCTGCTTTGGGAATATCAAAACTATGAGCTGAGAATAAGCAATTTTTGGTGTCCACCCCTTAACTTGTCTTAAACCAAGAGAGAAGACAAGGAAAATGAGACAAGTCCAAGGCACAGCACTTCATATTATTTATTCTATATTATTTATATTTATTCTACATTATTTATTCTAAGACTATTCTTGTATCATCAAGTAAAGAGTCCATTTCTGAACTCAGAGAGGTGGCCAGACGTGTTCAGTGCCAGTTCTCTGACAGTAGCTGGTAACAGCTGCCCCTGCAGTGACCACAAGCCTGCAGAAAGCAGGGATGGAGCAGATGCACCCCAGACTGAATTCTCCCCAATCCCTTGTAGTGGAAGATCAGCCTAAACTCAAAAGCACAACATTGAACCACTCTTGCCAAGCCCCTCATGACCACAGAGGTGCACAGACAGATTCATTATTCTGCTTTTCCGGAGCTCATGAACTGAGCAACTCTGTGCAATAATGAATTCCCAGCCAACCATTGGTTTGGCGCCTTGTCCTAAAAGGCCACATTTTCTGGTCTGGAATTTAGCTGATGCTGCATTAAAGAAAAATTTCAATGAGGATAAAAAACAAAGAGGCAAAACCAAAGGTGCTCAACTACAAAGCACATGAAGGGAAACCAGCCCAGAGAGACAGCTGTGAGAAAGTGAAAGGAAAACTTCTTATCTGCAATGGAAAATACTCAAATGCTTTCTGAGCTGCAGCCTCTTTCTCCTATACAGGAATACCAGAGTATCTCTGGCTAAGGTTTGTTTTTTAACCAACTCCATGATTCCTCTTGCTCCTTTTGCTTATTCAGGATTTGGTGACCACAATGGCAGAAGCTCTCATTGTTTATTATGATTAACCCCAATTTGATATTTGCTTAATGAGCCTGTGTAAGTAAGGTGATAGACAACATGGATCAGTCTTCACCCATGGATCTATCTGCCTCTTCTTTGTAATGCTGGGAGAGCAAAGCCTTGGAGGTCCCTCAGAACTGCAGCACATGGAGGAATGCACACAAAGGTGAGGAAAAGGTGAAGCCTAGAACACCAACAAGGACATCCACAAATCCCTGAGCATCAGGGATGTCTTTTGGCTCCTGTGGCAGCAAGTCAGGCTTGCTCTCCAGTTCAAGCCAAGGGTAACTGAAACCCTCAAACCCAGCAGTGCCCCATCCCTGGCACAGAGGCAGTGCCATGGAATGCTGGCCAGAATGCTGTTGGTAGCATGGCACATCCACCTGCTGCCTGCATTCTCTGGGAGAATTCCCAGTGCAGCCACTCAGAGCAGGGCACTGCACCCAGCAGAGGGAGGCAGGAACAACCAGCAGAGAGGAACAAAGCACACAGAAGGTGCTGGAGGCTCTGTGCAAGCAGGGCAGACAGCAGGAGGATCTCAGCAGAGCCACTGCAGGAGAAGGAAATGTGCTGCAAGCCAAGGGAAGTGCTCAGCCCCTCCTGACACAGAAACCGCAGGGCCAGTTCATGGCAACAACAATCTGAGGATCTTCTGCAAAAGCAAACTGTAAGAGCTGAGAGCAAATAAGAGAACAAATTGGACAGGAAAACACTGCTCCAGTGGGTCAAGTGTCAGAGCAGAGAGGAGAAAGGGAGAAGCAGCAACCAGAAGGGGAGACCATTTGCTAAGGAGAAAGAGCAAGAGATCCAGTCTGTGCATTTAGAACAAAGCAAGTCTGCAAAGTGGCAGAGGCATCAATGAACACAGACAAAGGATCAGAAAGAGACATGTGGACCTGCTGCTGGACAAATGTGGGTATCAGTGGTGACCAACAGGGCCTATTTCTTTCTGTATGATTAAGCATTTGAGTGTTAAGGGCTAAAACTACTAATTAACGTTTGTTTCCCTCTCTATAAGGTGTGGTTCCATTTTGTCCATAGATAAGGTTTGAGCCTGTTGTGTTGCAGACCCATCACTCACACTGCAGGCTACCCCTCAGCTACCACAGCACCTCTCCCAAGCACAAGACCTACAAGGCTGGCCCTCCAACAGAGCCAGCACATCATTGCTCAGGCCAGCCCTTCTGTTTAATCCAACAGACAGCACTCCTCTCCCTGTCCTCACATCTCTGTTCAGGAACTGACAGACCATGTTTCTCCCAGATCCCTCCCCAGACACAGCTCCCAGAGCCCACTGCTCAGTGCAGTGTCTGGAACAAGTTCTGTAAAAGCCATCAGCACCACGTGGCCCTTCTCTGACGCATTTCAGGGATGCTTTGCACAAACAGCCCTCCAGTAAGAAGTCTGATGTTACCTTTTGCCACAGCAAGACAGCATACAGCTTTCTAAACAAAGGAAGCTAGTTCCTTTTGCATAAAAACAAAAATTGCAGCAAGACCTTCTTTGGGAAGCAGCCTCTTGCAAAATGATTCTAGACTTATTGTTAATACATTCAATGCCATATACAGGCTTTGACAGTTTCTGGTTTGGAGCCTTAGCCACGTTCTCTGCTGTCATGGCACAAAAGCTGGGTTGGCTATATCTTGCAGCAATCAGTTTATTTCCTGGAACCATAGTTTGGATTAGGCTGAAACTGTTTGAAAATTCAGGCCAAGTGTCCAAACTGAGCATCAGAGCACAACTGCCCAGCCTTCCTGCAGATATACTGAACCCAAGAGGGAGGAAATTCCTTGTAACCTTTTTCAGGTGAGAAAGTGAAAAATCCATGAGCTGTCTTGGATGGGGAAAGCTGCAAGCCTGGGCGAGATTTACTTGCAACCTCAACTTACAAAGGCAGCTCTGGAAAAGAGTTTTGCTGCCAATGGCAAGCACCACCATGGCTTCCAGCTACAGTCTTCACTGTGATCTCTAATACAATTCCATCTATTTTAGCTCAGGCTTAGGAACCCATTTTTAAAGGTATAGATGTCATGCTGCTCATGAAGATGTCCAATCACTTCCCTCCCACCTACCTAGGACCCTGATTTCTGCTCCTTTAGCTTTCCTCCCTCCCTACTTTGTATTTTGCATTTTGAATTCTCCCTCCGGCAGCAACATTTTCTGCACCAAAGTGATCACCCCTTCTTTTGAGAAAGTGGGCAAGTAAATCTCGCCCAGGCTTGCAGCTTTCCCCATCCAAGACAGAATTTTTCAGTTTCTCACCTGAAAAAGGTAACAAGGGGTTTCCCTTGCCTTGGGTACAGGATATCTGAAGGAGGGCTGGGAAGTTGTGCTCTGATGCCCACTTTGGACACTTGGCCTGAATTTTCAAACAGTTTCAGCCTAATCCAAACTATGGTTCCAGGAAATAAACTGATTTCTGCAACCCTTTTGAAAAACAGGTTAGCTAATGCATTCTGCTGCCCACTTCCCACAGCTCCCACTGACAACAGCCATGGGATTCTGCAGATCCACTGGGTCACAGGTGGATGAACTGTAGACACCATGGTAAACCAGGGAGTACCAGAGAGAATAAATAGCTCCATGTCACACAGGGGAGGGCTGGCATAACTTCAGCTGCTGTCTTCAACACCTCCTGTTGCTGAATTTACAGAGGCTGCAACCCAACAGCTCTGGACATCAACTCCACCTGCTTTTAAAAGGCACAGAACCTTTAAAAATCCAGCAATGCACTGGGGAATTCCTCTGCAAGGTTTCAGAGGCCCTGAGCCCTGACAAAATCCACAGAGCAGGACAAAACACTCCTGGTCTGGCTGGACCCTTCTGACAATAAATTCAGCTGTCAGCTCACAGCACCACAGAGCTGCTAAGCCACTGCCCCACCAATGAGCTTTTGGTGGCTCAGCCTCTGGAGAGCCAGAGAGTCTCTCAAAAACTGATTTGCATGATCTGTCCCCACTTTGCTGACTGCAGCCACCAAAGCCCAAGAGGGTTGTATTCCCTGTTGGTACAAAGCAGTGAAAAACCAAGTCTCCTGGCTACTCATTCAAAACCACAGATGATTTGAAACTCAGCTAAATTTCTGCTTGAGAGAAATGAAACCCACAGGGAAGAAAAAGCAAAAATGGACAGTGAACATTTTTTTTTTCCGGAAAGGCTGAGTTGCATCAACTAGAGAGACATGACAAAACTCAGCAGGGAAAAATATCATCACAGCTGGGCTTGTAAGGGCAGCCACCATCTCCTGGTGCAAAAGTGAAATGTGTCACCCATGGCTCTGGGTATCTTTGCCCACCAGCAGATGTTTGGATTCCTTCCCTGGCACTCAGCACTTGAACTCTGCTGCACAAACACAACCCACCTTGCTGACAGGGATGTGGGCTGACTGACAGCACAGCCCACCAGCTCTTTGCCCACAGTGGAGGCAAATGGAGGCTTTATTTCTGCCAAGGATGAGCCAGCTGGGACAGCACTTCCAGTGCAGCTGTGTTTCCAGCCAGGGCATGGAGGTCCTATGTCGCAGACAACTTTTATGAAAAATCCTTTCCTTAGGATTTTTCCTCCTGAGAAGCTGGGAGGCCTCAGGAACAAAATGTAAGCATTGATTATCTGCTGCTGTGGAATGCAGCAGGTGGATTTTTGATTGGCCCATCTTAGATGTTTATAATTAATCACAGTCAGCTGGCTCGGCTCTCTGTCCAAGCCACAAACCTTTATTATTCATTCCTTTCTATTCTTAGCTTAGCTAGCCTTCCAAAGAGAACCTTTTTGTCTTTTTTTTTTTTTTTTGTATAGTTTTAATGTAATATATATAATAAAATAATAAATCAAGCCTTCTAAAATACAGAGTCAGATCCTCGTCTCTTCCCTCAACATAAGACCCCTGTGAACACCGTCACAGAGGACAACCCACTGATGAAGGTTTTTCCCTTCCTCAGGGAGGATAAAGCCTGTTCCAGCCCTTTTCCTGCACATCCACCTTCTTCCTGTGCAGGCTCTGATGGGAACAAGGCCAGCACTCAGCTGTTTTCTTGTCCCTGACAGCTCCCCTGAGGAGAAGGCAGAGGACCAGGCCAGCAGCTGCATCTTTCCTTGTGTTGCCCAGCGCTTATCTCTGAGGAGAAGCAGCTCACAGCAGCAAGATTTGCAAAGCAGATAATGCAGAAAACTGGCAGTATATTGCACATATGCCCTGGACAGCTCTCTCCCAGCTGAATCCATGACCTTACTCAAAGCTGGTCCATAAGGCAGTGCCCAAATTAAAGTCTTTGTTTTCCTAAAGTGCTTGAAAAATGCATGTATTTTATGATTGGCTTTTTGCAAATATTAAAATGAATATTATATGTGTTGCGTTAGAAAGTAATGCTGTATTCATTCTCTTAAGTAGTGTGTTAAATAGAGTTTTAGGTTATAAAAAATGTTAAAATAGAAACTATACTATGTAAGATACTTTTTTTAAAGAAAGGACTCGCAGTGAGATAGCAGCCACAGGACACCTAAATCTTTCAGAGAAAAAGAATTTAGTGCCCTCTTTTCAGAAGAGACGAACTTCTTCCCACCTTGAAGGTGCTGTCAGGATTCAGAGGAAGAAGCTGACACTGACCAGACAGAATCCTGTGTTTGAATGGAATTTTTGCATCATGTATGAGGTGTATGAATATGCAACAGGCTGTTGCTTTTAAAGGTTAATCCTCTGTTAACGTGGGTCCTTTTTCGGGCTCATGCTGCCCTGAGAAAGGTACCCGGACTGTCCATAACTCTTTGTATTTATTGTCACATATTGTCCTAATTCAATTTGTCCAAATTGTTATTACTTTAATTGTATTACTATTTTTTATAACCACTTTATTACTATTAAACTTTTAATTTTTTTTTTTAAAAGTGATTGGCGTTTTTCACACTCTGAGACTGCTGTGCCATTAACAGAGCATCCAAATCCCAAGGAAAGGGGCATCCCTCTTCTGCGAAGACATGTCCAGCATCCCTCATTCCCCCTTTCCACTGAGGCTGATGTGCTGCAGAAGGCTCACCAAGGACCACCAGCATCCCTGCTCCTGGGCCACCTCCTTCCCTGACAGGTTTTCCCTCACAAAATTTCCAGCTCAAATAAGGCACTACTGCAAAAGGCTTTCAACTGAGCCTTCCTGACCCATTAAAAACCTGCAAAAATGCAGCCCAGAGACCAAAGAAAAGGCAAAATACTCATAGGGTATTGCTGTTTTCAACAAAGCTACTCCTGCCTTAGTGAGATAACCAGAGAACTAAGTGACCTGTCTTACCACGAGGTAGGACCAAAGTCTCTTGAGAAAGCCAAATGCAGCCACACCTGACCCAGAGTATCAGGCAGAAACAGAAACATGGCTCTCAAATACAGGCAGAAGTTTGAAAATAGAGATTGCCAATACATCTTTCTCCTTTCTGGTACCAGTTACTGTGTCTCTGTAAGGCTGCACAAAGAAGGGTTCAGTTTTTAGATACGGGTTACTTGTCTTCATGTCACAGCAATCACAATTCCACAGGTTGAAAATATACTTACTTCTAAATGCCCAACTTGGGAAATGGCCAGGGAAAAAAAAACAGTCCTGTTGCAGTTCAGAAAAGCTGTCCCTTATCTCCAGAGAATGCAGATAAGATGTTTGAGTGTCTGCAGCAGCTCAGTACATTTCAAATATCAGCCCGAGGGGAAGGTTAGAGTCGCCTTGGATGAGGCTGTGCTGTCTGTTGGGCTGCTTCTCTTATCAGGTTGATCTGAGCACAATTGTCACCTCTTTCCTACCCCTAGTGTTCATGCCTGAGGCATAAAGAGAGAGGTAAAAGTGCACAAACCTGGGAGTAAACATACATAAACTCAAGGAGAAACCTCAGGTTCCATCTCCATGTTTACCACCAGAATGGCAAAATGCAAAAGCACTTAGCCAAGCTGCCCAGCTCATTATCACATATTTATATCAAAAGAGGCCTAAACACCCTGCCAAACAACAATACCATGATTAAAACGAATGCACTCCTCTCTCACATTTAGATCAGATGGTGTTTATTTCCGTTGCATGGAGCACTAACCTCTCAAAGTTATTTTTACACTCACTCCTCCCTGCTGACCACTTTTCTCACTCAAATGAATAATGTTTCCAGGAGCTTTCATAAATTTTGGAGATGAATCAAACCACTAGAACCTATTCAGACCCAAGGAGCTCTAGGAATCCCAACAACTTCCAGCAAACATTCTGTAAAGGTCTGATGCTAGGGACATTCTTCATCTCCTCTGCTTTCTGATCTAACAGAACAAACATCTGGCTCCCTGAGATTCAAAACATGCACTGAGGAACGTACAAGTCTGGGAAACATTTATATCTCACTTGAGACAGAGATGATGAAAAAAAAGGCAGGACTGTCTCCTAAATGAGGGCACATAACAAGAAGAAATATGCTTAAACCTGCCATGTTCTAACAAACCCTGCAATCTGTAGCATCAATCACAAGTCAGTGTCACTCAGAGCAGCCCCAAGGTTGCTCTAAACTGCACTGAGGATGGGAAAGAGAAACGTGGAGAGCTTAAAATCCCCTCCAGCCAGGGCTCAGTGTCAAGCTGTTGACCATCAACTCAAGATGTTTGCACCAAGACGTTTTCTACTCTGCTGAAACCAGAAGTTAATCACAGAAATTTTCCCATGTGTATCTCCAGCAAGCAAGAAGGAAACTGTCAGGTGAAAAAATCCCATTTCCAGGCATAGTGACAAGGTGCCATACCTGTATGTGACATGCACTGCAGTGCCAGGTTCATCTCTCTCCCAGATCAAAGCCACTCTGTTTGGAGACTTTTCGACGTGCTGATCCAAGCAATTTACTGTAAAAAAAACCCCAAAGGCTTAAACAAAGCCTGAACATAGGAAAGGTGCTTTGTAAACCTAGCTTGGTCGAGTGCAACAGCAAGCAAATAGAAGATGAAACATCAGGTTTTGGGTTGCTAGATGCACACTAATGCGTAACAGAGGAACTGAGAGCATTTGCAGCTTCAGTAAAGCTATACAACAAATTCTGCACTTAATTGGCCCAGTGGCCTTAGAGATGGATACCCATGAGAGGCCATGGCAAATCCAGACATGGGCTGAATTCATGGCTCAATTCAGCCAGCCCAAATCCTTCCCCTGCTCCCAGCAGCACAAAGGCAAGGCACCCTTTGATGTTTTTGCTCCCCAGAGCAGCATTTCACTACAGAACTCGGACAGTCTTCCCCAGCTGGCATATTTAGCACTGCACCATTTGGATTTTCTAATTAAAGCTCATGTGAAACATTTTTGTTCCAGGGTATAACAAAGACCTGAACCTCAGCTAACTGAAAATGTCTAAAACTGTGGGATCTATGGTAAACTCAGAGTTCAGACATCTACAAATTTTCAGACCCATGGGAAAGATTAATGTGTCTCAGGCTGTGTATTCCACCTCCTAAAATTTAAAGGTACAAAATTCCCTTTTAATGTTGTATCTCTCCCCCTCAGCAACTTGAAATGGAGGACTTAGGGAGAGCACCCAACCTGAAGAAATTTATAGAATCCACAAAATAAACCTGCCTGCATGTCCACTAGCAATTTGCCTGATAGTTAGAGAACATCCTTGTTAAATATTAATTCCAAGCCTATACGACACTTATTGCATTGCAATATTTCAAAGGCAGTTACTTTATTTCATATGCAACTAGTCAGGGACACTGCTGTATAACACAGAGAAAACCCCTTTTGAAAATTGCTGGATTTCAGATCATATTTCCTGGAAATATGAATGCTAATGGGAAAGGATTTCATTTTCCCAGATAAATTTTAAAAAAGCTGTGTGCTGTAGTAGCTTTGGCTGCTCTCTGATCACACCATCACATGGAGTGGGAATGAACCCCTAAAGGTGCACAGAGAAAGAAATTCCTCAGAATTTAACACATTTCATTGCAAGACCAAGTGTTGGTCTCAAAAATTTGAAAAAGCTTTCTTCAGCTGTTTAAAGTCTTTTATTTTTAATGCAAAACCCTGCAGCAGTACTATAAAAATAAGACAAAGCCATTTCTTTAGCAATCCTAATAAGATACAAGAGGACAAGTGTCGCAGACATCTTTTTCACTAAAAATCCTTTCTTTAGGATTTTCCCTTCTGGGAAGCTGAGGCCCCAGAAAAAGAATGTAAACAATGGTTATCTGCTGCTGTGGAATGCAACAGGTGGATTCTTGATTGGGCCATCTTGAATGTTTATAATTAATGGCCAATCAAGGACCGAGCTATCTTGGACAGAGTCAGAGAGAGCTGGCTTTGTTGTCAATCTTTCTATTCTATTCTTAGCTTAGCTAGCTTCTGAGGAAACCTTTTCCTTTCTATTTCTTTTTAGTATAGTTATAATGTAATATATATATATATATATATTATAAAATAATAAATCAAGCCTTCTGAACATGGAGTCAACATTCTCGTCTCTTCCCTCATTCAAGAGCCCCTGTGACCACGGTCACAGACAAGAGCTCTGGTGGGGAATTTTTTAAGCAGGCATACTCTGATTTCCTCTGCCTGTGTCCACAACAAGCAGCAGCTCCCACCACCAGGCTCCTCACAGCTACACCCTCACATAATGTGCCACGCTACACTGAAGCACAAAATGGAATTCATTGCCCAAACAACTTTTCTTACTCATGAGCAGCCAGACTGGCCTTTACAGGGAATTTCTGCTGCAGAAAGCCCTGGCTGAACCAAGTGGGAGATTTAGCCCTGTGCTCAGTGAGAACCAGCAGGTGAACCAGAGCCAAGTGCTATTATTTCCTTCCTGTTCTTAGGCTTACATGAGCCTTTTGCTCATTTTACAAAATAGAATTTAGTGACCTTCCCCTTACTACTACACCCTAGTGGTTTCTCCATACATTTTCTTGCTTCCTTGACTGCTCAGAAACAATTAAATCTCAGTAAGACAAGCTCCTGAGAATGTGTCCTGGTGGGAAATGCAGTGGTTTGCCAGGTTATTCTCCTGGCCAGGAGTCACAGTGCAAGAAACCCAGAAGCTCTGAAGCTCAGAGGTCCCCAAAATCCTTCTGCAAGGGCCCCCAAGCAAAGAGCATCAGATGACTCAGTTGCTCATGGTCCAGCTGTGCTGGGAGACATGCACACAGGATGTTCTGGATCAGGGACCTGAATTGCTGCCATGTTTCTGCAAGCGTTCAAATCAAGTGGTGAAAGGACAAAATCAGAGTCTCCTAACAGAAAAACTTGGCTGTGGCAAAGTGCTGAAAAAATCCCACTTCCTGTGCTCCCCACACTGCCTTCATCACACTTGAAAACAAAACCAGCAATAGCAAACCTGTTTCATTCTGTGCATCTGTTTCAAAGGTCTATGATTTTCTTTTATGTATGCAAAAAATACCAAAACCTGAGTGGCATTTTCTGCCTGCTGAGGAACCAGACCCAAGGCCAAGCAATATTTGGATATCAAAGATCTGACACAGAATCCAGAAGAAAAAGTGTTGATCCCACTCTAGAGAGGAAAGAAACAGATAGGCTGTGCTCAGACAAGATCTTCCTTTCAACAGGAATTAATGCCAACAAAACTCTGGCTAAAATCCTCTGATTGCTGGGTGCTGGGCACAGACTCATCTCCAAAAGCTTGGGATCCACTGCTGGGCATCATTCCCTGGGAGGAAACACTCTCTTATGCTCTCTGGAAGACCTGAGGAGGGTTTCCTCTTTTGGCTGTAAAATAAAGTGGCCAGAGATGTTACAGTTACTGCACTACTGAACGAGGAACGGGAAATGAAGGTCAGAAATGTTCCCTGTTAAAAGCCATCACCACTGCCTGGTACCCTGGATAGGGATGGAGCTCACTCCCATGGGATGAAGCACAGCCAGAGGACACAAGAGCCTTCAGGGCAAGACATGGCATGGACAAAACTCAAAGGAAGTCAGGCAAATTTTACTCTTGTTTCATGTTAAGTGGTGAAATTGGAGGAAAACACCAAGATCCTCGTTTAAAACAAACAAACAAACAAAAAAATCCCGGCAGCTTCTGCCATAAAAGCCTGGGACCGTTCCCCAGCTGTGGATCATGCTGAGCCACCACGGGGCCGGGCAGAGCCCAGACTGGGCATCCCGCAGGTCGAAGGGCGAGGCAGCGCCCGGCCAAGAGGCTTAGCCAGGGTTATCCCGACTTCGGATTTTCTCCCCGCCAACAGCATTTCGCAATTCCTGGCTTGTTTCCCCTCAGCGCCGCCCAACCGCAATCCTCATTTTCACCCCCAAAAACGGGCGATGGCGAAACTTCGCCCCTCGGGAACGCCTCCCGTCCAGCCCGGCGGGGGCTGCGCGGCCGGGACCCCTTACCGGAGACGTTGAGGCGGCCGCCGAGGAACCAGCGGGCGGAGCCGGCGGTGTCGCCGGGCTGCCAGGCCGTGTGGAAGGGACTGTCCCAGCGCAGCCACCCCCGCGCCACGTCCGCCCAGAACCCGGCGGGGTCGCGGGCCGCCCGCTCCCGCCACGCCCGGTACCCGCCGGGCGGCAGCGCCCCGGGAGCCCCCGCCGGGCTGCAGCGGCTCCGGGACGGCACCGGCAGCGGGACACGGCCCGGGGGGCGCGGGCGGCTGAGGGCGCGCAGAGTCCGCGCTCGGGCGGCCGCCAGCGCCATGGGGACACAGCGCTGTCCCCGCCGCGCCCGCCCGGACCGGGAGAGCGAGGGGAACGACCGAACGGGCGAGAGAGAAATACAGAGAGAGAGAGAGAGAGAGACCGCCTGCGGGGAGGGGCTGCCCCGGCGGGGCGGCAACGGGGGCGCCGCACCCCGCACACACCCCCGGGAGCACCGCGCAGCCAGGGACACCCCGCAAATAGGGACACCCCGCAGCCCCGGGAGCGCCCCGCACCCAGCGACACTCCACACCCGGGGACACCCCGCAGCCCCGGGAGCGCCCCGCAGCCCCGGGAGCGCCCTGCACCCAGCGACACTCCACACCCGGGGACACCCCGCGCCCAGGGAGCACCCCGAGAGATACGCCTACACCCGGAGGGAGAGACCCAGTCCTTTGCCCTGTGGGGATATCACCTGCACGGATGTGCGGGCAGGTCTGCGTCCCTGTTCACATCCTCGCCGCCACAGCAGGGGTGAGGATACAGCCAGGTACAGCCAGGCACTTTAACATAAAAAGCAGCTCCCAGCACACACGTGCGCTGTCCTGTCTACAGCTGGTGTCCAGCACCACGGACGCGGACACTGAGCACGCACTCCTCATGTACACACGGTACTTGGGCTCCTGGGTAGGTGGCAAACACATTGTGCCCTCCTACACCACCCTACACACAGTGGTCAAAACCCTGTTCCCCTCTGCTCGAAATGAGGTGGTGTCTCTAAGCAGAGTACACATCCCTTTTTTAGTTGGCAGCCCTGCCAGCACCATCCTTAACGTGGAATTCCTGGCTTTGGTATCACAACACTTCTTCTTGCATATTAATCTAAGATTTTACCCCGACTTCATGGTGCCAACCCTCAAAAATGAATAGCAAGGTTTTACAGAAGGTAGCACAGAGGTTATTCCTTGTCTATAGCAGAGACACGCTCTTTTCTGGCATGAATTCTTTTAGATAGCTTGGTCCAGACTCCCAGCACAGAGTCTGAAAGCTCAGAGTGGTCTGGGCATCCTTAAGAAGTGCCAAACTACCTGAACATCAACTCAACTCACCCCCAGGGTTTGGGTAGGCAAAACACATTTCACGTTCAAGATTAAAAACTTAAAATAACTTTATACGCTATGAAGCTTATTCTGGCAGTGGTAGAAACAAATCGTGGTTTTCTGTTCTAAATATATCACCAGGCACTTTTTTGTGATTTTTGTGTGAGACTTTCAGACACTGCTGAACTTTTCTACTGTGTTTTATAGGCAAAAAGCAAGAATAAATACAATTTTAATTTCCTTATAAAGTTGGCATTAGTACACGCCTGCTGTAGTTCGATGTTTCTTGTGTTTTGCCTGTCACTTTCGGTTTTTCCAAGCCCCAAATTGCAAGCAGCAGCACGTGTGCCACCTGGTGCCAGACAAGGGCGCGGAGAGCACTTCGGCCTTCACTTGGTTTGCCCAAGGATTGCTCAAAAGTTTCCTAGCAAAGATGACTCATATGCAAATCCTACCCCTTTCAGGATTTCATAGGAATGCTATTTCACAAAACAAACAAACGAGTTGCCAAAAAAAAAAAAAAAAAGAAAAAAAGAAAGCATGAATTTGAATATTTGGCGCTAAAGCTTACCTGCTTCATTTGCAGCCTTTGAAATCTGGGAACCCTTCTCTGGTTTTCTTCCACCAAGGCTGATTTCCCTCTTCTGCCAGCAAGTTTTGTTTTGCTCATGATTCACCAGAACATCCCCTGCTCTCAAATTTTGGCTGCCTTTTTCCTCGGAGAAAACCACGGCCAGCAGCAACACAACCCAAATCCAGTCTGATCACTGCAGGGAGATGGGTTGCTAAAACCAAGCACAAGCCCCAAAATCTCCTTTCTTGCCTCAAAAAGAGATGAGGAGAGAGGAAAAGAGTCCCTGAGATTTTGCAATGCCTACTTGCTCTACCCATGACTTTCTGAACGAGGGAGTGAAGGCTGGCACATCAGGTTGGTGACTTTTTGACAACCAAGGGGTGTCACAGCAATTCTCACTTTTAAGTATTTTGAGTGTGCCAGGAAAGGCTGGTGCTGGAACTGTAAGGAAAAAAAACCTAACCCAAAATCCCCCAAATTTCCACATCTCTCTACTCCTATTCTTGCTACCAGCAGTTACTTATTGGCCTTATCTCTGATTCCTGTCAGTGTCACTGTCATATTTTCTGGAAAAATCCCTTTGGCCAGGATTCTTCTCCTGGGAAGATGAGAAGCCTCAGAGAAAAAGGAAACCTATAATTATGTGCTTTGCTTCTCCTGTGTTTTGCTGCTTTGGAATGTGTTTGGACAATGTTTACCAACAGGTGGTTGGTAAATTGTTTCATTGGTTTCATGTGAATTGTTTTGACTTATTGACCAATCAAGGCAAGCTGTGTCGAGACTCTGGAAGGAGTAATGAGTTTTCATTATTATCTTTTAGCTTTCTGTAAGAATCCTTTCTGTATTCTTTAGTATAGTTTAATTTAGTATTCTTTTATATAATATAGCATCATAAAATAATAAATTAGGCTTCTAAGAACATGAAGTCAGATTCATCATTCCTTCCTGCCACGGGGCAGCCCACAAATACAATACTGTCAGTATGTAAAAGACTTACTCAATGAGGTGCTATGTTTCTCAATTGCTCATCCCTCTGTTTTTCCTATTTTTAATGACCTAAAAAGAAGAATAGTAAAGTTGTGGAATCCAGGACTGTCACCTGGTTAGCACTGATCTGCTCCTCGCTGTCCTTTCCAATGGTCTTCTCACATGGTGTGCACACAGCTGATATCTGGCTCCACAAAGAAAGTCAGGGCCAGGCAAAAACACCAACACAGAGCAAAAGTACATGCTGGTCTGTGTTAGAAATTCTCCCAAGCCACAATTAACCCAGATTTTAATAAAATCTTTTGATCATTTCCAGCTGCATTTCTGCCGGCAGATTAAATTGGACATTTTCCCAGGTGGCTGTTCTAGCAGGTTTCTAAGCCCATTCAGCTCCATCTGCAGAAGGGAGGTTTAGACCAAGGATGAAATAAAGCTAAAATGCAGTGGCTAAGGTTCCACTTCAACAGATGACCACAGACCTTGTGTCCAAAGCAATGGGAAATGCAGCAGGTTTGAAGGAGCTGAGTACCTGAGCTAATCTGGAATGTGAATCTTTGTCAGAGCTGGTTACACCCAAAACAAAGGTCAAAACTGTGTGAAAAATGTAGATTTGCTGCACTTCCATTTATGAATGTGTAATAAATGCCCGTTGAGTGATAGGGGAGAAAAACAATACTTAAAAATATCCAGATAATTAGATATTGATTGTCTATATATAATATATATATATATCTTGTCACCACAAATACCCTTTATTACCACCCTGGCCCCAAGGGACTGCTCTGGTGGGGGGAAAAGTCCTGGCTGGGAGGTGTGCCCCACAAGGGATGGGAGAGCACAGCAGCACTGTGGAAGCTGGTGTGACATCCCACTCACAGGACAGATGGGAACCTCCATCTGTGGATGAACACCAGGCTGGGCCTGATGGGGACACTGATGGGGACAGGGAGAGGCACCAGAGTGTGGCAGGGAGGGTCTGGGAGCGGTGTTTTGTGAAGGTGAATAAGGCACAGAACAGTGCCCATCCACAGTTTGGGACAGAGGCATGAATATGGATGGTTTGCAGTGGAAAGAGAACAAGAAGGCACAGCCATGAGCGTTGCACAGCACATCTGGAGGAGCCACGTGCTTATCTGTGCTTCAAGTACAACGTGATCCACAGTGAGCTGGAGCAGGGGGAATGGCACTGATCTGGAGCTGTGCCCCTCAGGGTAGGGGAACTGCCCAGGGACAGGCACACTGCCCAGCTGCATGCAGGGGCAGCCTCACTTGTCTGAGCCTTTTTTGGGTGCTGCACCCAGCTGTGAGCTGCTGGCATTGTTCCCAGCCCCGGCAGGGCAAGATCTAGCCCAGTGTGGATGGGGAATGTTCTGATCCTAGCGGTGCAGTGCCCAGGCCAGTGCCAGCGGTGCTGGTCCTGGCCCCAGTGTAGTTCCTGGCCAGGCTTGCAGCGCAGTGTACTGCACCAGCCCGTTCTTGGCCCCGGCCCCAGAGGACTGGAGTAAAAAGCTGCAGGTCAGCACTGCTGGGCTGATTGCACTGCCAGCACAGGGCTCACAGCGCTGTCGCTGCCGGTCCCTGTGCAATGCACAGCCCAGCCTCAGGCAGATGTGCCGGCTCTGGCCTGCGTCCCAGCAGTGCAGTCACCCGGCCCTGTGCAGACCGTGCCAGCG